TAAGGTAATAGATGTACCAAGTTAAGAATATTGTAGCAAAACCCAAGTAACAACAAGAACAACGTATGCATTTAACTCGTCCCACGATTCCCAACAAACGACTGAATTAAGTGTAAAGTATCAAAGTCAAAGAAAAAGATTTTTCTGAGAAAAGAGTTACTTAATTTTTGAGGTATTTAACACAATAATAACACTTCAAGGCACGATAAAGCAGAATGTAGGTCGATAAGTTATTGACAGAATGAAGCCATGTCAAATCAGTAATGGTAGTTAACAAAACTGAAATAAGTACTATGGAATACCAAATATGAAAGTAGTTATGAATAAACTAATTTTCAGTGAACAACAAATGAATTAAAGATAAACTGGTATAAAGAAAGAAAGCAACTATAAAAATAAAGTGGATAAACTGTCAAAAATATATGGGAATATCTCAAATCACAATAAGAGGTATTACCAGCTAATCATTCCTAAGTAATGACCGTAGCACAAGTTGTTGAATGGAAGTAGTATAATCAACACACACACACACTAAAACGAAACATTCGGAAAAAGAATCGGAAATTCCAAAACAAATGAAAAACATTAGAAATTTGAATGACCTTCATTCATAAAATCGTAAACTTACAATGTAGTGAATAATCATAATAAAAGTAGTTGGGGGTGAAAAAATACTTAAACTATCATCTGCATATTGTTTGTTTAACCAGTCAGTTGCGGATACACAAATATATTCACCTAAGCATAAAGCCTTTGTTATGAGGAAGAAATATTGCAAATACGTTTCTCAATTAAGTGTTCGGTCTGATTAATACTTTCATGAATATATTGTTTATTAAATGTTAATGGATAAGCTATTCTGTGTGATATCAGGATTAATTACGTTAAGAACTCAAACAACGTTTACTAAATTTTTGTCGTCTTTAAATAGATCGGTACAATTATGAAGTATAGGAATGAGAGTTAAGATATGTTTCAATGGATACCACTTAAGCTTCTTTTAGCCGTGTATATTTAATATCTAGTGGTTATTGATTCATAATGAGAACAGTATCGTAATAACTGGTTGGTAGATATAGAAACCTTTATATTTTTTTCAGTCACGCTCCATAGTACTTAAACGAGAATCACTCACTGAATATCAGTACATTCAGCATTTTCGGCGGACAGTTAAGTTTAATACATAGACAGGTGGCATACGTCTAATTGAGTTTATACAGGTTAAGCGAATTATTTACTGACCACTAGAGATCCGATATCTCTAACTTACTGAATTTAAATAGGTTAAAAATGACCGGCGTAAACGTTTCGTATGTGACTGAACTGAATCAAGTGAACGACGAAATAGGTAAACTAATTTGCATCAGAAGTTCACTTAAACCAAAGAATATTTCTTTGGATAACTCGATAGTCATCATATTTGATTTATCAAATAAGATGTCGTGTATCTTCCTGCTACAGTAAATGATATATATACTCGCCTCTCTTTGTAGTTTAAGAAGCCTTTTTGTATCATTTTGATATTTCATGCTTCATATAACGTTTGGTTACTGAGAATAAACTGCCACAACTTAAGAGTAAATCGTTAAATTTTATAACATTTTGAATAATCTTCGTTGGAAAATTATTAAATTATCAGATGTTAATTATGTGCTTTTGTTCTTTCTGTTTATCCTCTCCTGATGCAATAGCCTTATTTGTTCTTTTAAAGAAATTTGGGTCTACATAGATTTTCTCAACGAACAGATGTGCTGAATTAAAACCAATATAACGGTTCAAATGTGTTGGTTTTCGGTAGATATTTATATTAAGAGATCCACTTAAATTTCTTTTAGCAAAGTAATCTAAAAGTGATAGCTCACCATGATCAATTTCATCCTTGAGAGTAAATTTAATTTAGAATGAGAGTGTCTTGACCAGTTTAGGAAAAGTTCGTAACAGATTCTCTCATGACGACAAAAGCACATCCACATATCTGAGCCAAATTCATGGTTTGTAAAACGTCCCATTGAAGGTAGATAAAGTTGGATCTAAGCATAGATTTGGGGATTTCACTAATAAACTGATGCTTAAAGGAGATCTGCCAGATAAGGTATGATCATTCTCTAGAAAACCATTAGTAAAATCAAGGCATTTATCAATGGATATACTAGTATAAAAATATACAACATCATAGCTTAACACGATTCTATTCCTTTGAAAAATTAATCCCTATATTTTGACTTTAAGTCAAAGGCATCCCAAGTTTATTAGTTAATGTCAGTAAATATACGCTCAAGAACATTGCTTAATATATGTATTTGAGACAATATATCATTCAATCTGGAAAAGTAGGTAGAGAGCACATAGTTAATAGTAAAACCCATCAATGATGAAAAATACAACATGTAATTATGCTATAATAGTTGACCTGAAACTTTATGCTATATGTTTATGGGATCTAAAGTAGGCTTTTCTTTCTGTTCCACCAATGCACCTACTTTGGCAGGTTCGTGCAAATCTCTGTACTCAGTTGGTCAAATCATGAAAGGGGAACCTGTGGATTTTTGACTAGAGTAAAAAACATATCATTATACAAGATCACCGTATAGAAATCGTGGTTGAACACTGTTGAGGAATCCCATAATAGGACGAGAAAACCAGCCGATACAACCTGGTTTTCAATGCCGGTCTATCTAAGATTAGTTTGGGATTTTAATTATGATAATATAATTATGTTGAATATATAATGACTTGAATTGCCTACGCTAATGAAGCGCTGTAAATATAATGTTTGGCAATATTTGAAATAACGCTTTTCTAATTAGATTAAGAAAACAAACATAGTAAATTTATGATGAAGGTCGCTTAAGACATAGAAACATTGTATTAAACACAATACATCTAACATTTAATTCACAGGAATGCAAATTAATGAGGAGTGAACTTATGTGGTAACTTTAAGTCTGCATTACTTTTGTTTTACAATTTTCCAAATCATTATTCGACTAATGAGTTCACGCCTTATTAATTTGCATTCCTGTGAATTAAATGTTAGATGTATTGTGTTTAATACAATGTTTCTATGTCTTAAGCGACCTTCATCATAAATTTACTATGTTTGTTTTCTTAATCTAATTAGAAAAGCGTTATTTCAAATATTGCCAAACATTATATTTACAGCGCTTCATTAGCGTAGGCAATTCAAGTCATTATATATTCAACATAATTATATTATCATAATTAAAATTCCAAACTAATCTTAGATAGACCGGCACTGAAAACCAGGTTGTATCGGCTGGCTTTCTCGTCCTATTATGGGATTCCTCAACAGTGTTCAACCACGATTTCACGATTAGGTCGAGATGTAAACACACTTGTCGTTATTCACCGTGAAACGACGTTCTTATAGTTTGTTTTAGTTTTGAATACATCCAATATCTTTGTCACGAACTTGCATAAGCCGATTAATTTCTCTGTGCTCATTTCTTGTTGTTTCGGGACGGTTCCAGGTATATGGTAATGTACAACAAGCAGTAGTCTAATCACCACTGTACTAATTTTAGTCATTTTGATAGTTATTTGTGGTTTTGCGTATCTTACAGTCTAAGTGAGTGCGTTCTTCTCAGGACAGTTGGGGTCCTGGATACCAGCACCTATCATTAACAGTCTGAAAATTGATTGTTTGTATTGTGAAAGTTATAAAGCGATAATTTGAGTGCTAAGAGAAGACAGTTACTCTAAGAATTAAAAACAAGTTAATTGATTGGTAATGTGTAAGAATTGGAAGAATAATATGTGGAACGGAGATGGTAATAAGCGAGATAAGTAGTTACTGATATGAGGTAATGATAACCGTGATCATTTGTGAGAGATGCCAAAGTAGGTAGATTAGCAGAACAGAAAGAAGGATTAACTTTTGATTCCACCAACATATCTCATAAAGCTGTAGTGGCTTAGCTTCGTTAATCAATCACCTTGATAACCGTTATGTAAATTCCAACGGTGTTTGAAATCATAAGACAATAAGAACCAGCGACTATAGTTTATTAGCGAACAGCACGGATAAAAAAAAGCTACAAGCAAATCGAGAGAACTTGAAGCAGAGAGGCGAATATGTGTATGCGAGCGAATACAGAGGCAAATTTATAGTCAAATCCAATCAAGGCGCAGCTAGGCTGGGTAAAGGCTAATAATAAGATTCGAGTACATATATACATGTGAAAGAGAATGACTCATCGAGAGATATTTAAGATATTAACATTTTAGTTAGAGAGAGATATGTGCGTAGGCTGTCACATATAATCATAATAGTACAAAGAAATTTGAGAATCGTTACTGTTCGGATAACATTGTCTGTTAAATAAGTTAATACAATGTCCTAGCAAAATTTAAACATAATCGAAATCGAGTGTAGGAGACTTGCTATAATGTCTTGGGTTAGTGGGATTAGATGCTTTGAGAAGTGCTGTTGAGGTACATCTCTGTGACACAGGGTATCAAGGTGATAAACTGATATCTTTCACCAATCAATAGTCAAATTCCATTCCTCACAAATTTGCCCAAACTATAGCCATCAAACTACTAGTGCCCGACTTATGTATACAAAAGGAAACAGTTCCAAATTTTTCCTTACCATTTTTCATTGTAATGATTGCTAACTGGACACTTGCGATCTATAACATCACAAACATTTATACAAAGTAGGATTAGACTATGACAACAGCAACAACAGAAGTATTATGAGAATGAATAGCAAACAAATTGCAATACCTTAACAATGTGACAGGAACACCTTTTGCCTAAGATAAATTATAAAATTACTACTTCACATCTGTGTGGAATGATGTGCATCTGATTGAATTGATTATTATTTTTTTCAAGACTTATCGACCAATCTATACATGGTACAGTTATAAAGTAAACAATATATTTTTCTAACATTCTTTATAGAAAACTTTATTATTTGACCTTAGTAGTCACCAAAAATAGAATACTATAATAATTAGTAAAGTGGTCAGTAATAATCTTGTTAATTAATTTTCATTATACACAGTATATAAAAGGATAGTCTATGTCTAAAAGATTGTTATATCTACGATAGACAGTTACAAAATTCTCTCTGTTTCACTTATCATCTTCTACAAGCAAGGAGTGCAGAATGAAACAGATTTACACTGGTGAGATTATTTCATGAGACTACATTGTTTTGTTCTTTTTATGCGTTAATACACTTTCAATGGTCTATTTTGGTGTTCCAGATTATACATATTTTGTCTACATCTACTATTTCTAGTTAAAAAAAAGTTAGAAAATATTTGTTATTCATTAGTAATTATGTTACTATTTGTAGCGGTATTCTCATAAAAATCATATTTTATAAGAGATCAGTAACACATTTCGACTAATGGATGTAACGGACAACTAATGACAGTTAGTCTTCCTCATTTCACTTCAGTTAGTATCAACATCAGACTATTTGACTAAACCCAAAATGGTCGTGTACTACGCTAACTACCATTTAGTAATTGACTACCACAACAAACAACAAATTTCTTTTTTGCCGAACAGTGATTTCTTACCACTTGTGACAGTTCGAATCAATTCCGTTTATTGAGTGTTTGGGTGTGAAAATGCTACTTACATAAAATTAAGTGCATTGCAAAGACAAAATTAAGAAGACATGGTGTGTTATTTTGCAGGTCAACATAGGGTTAATAAGGAAAACCCAAGGTTTATCCATGCACCTCATAATTGAATATATTTTTTCCAATGTATTGTTAAATACCAGTTGACAATCATAACCTTGGAAACTGAGGCTTGACTTCACGTTCTTGAGCCAGTGGACTAAATATCACTCAAATCAACACAGTGGTGCAATGGACGGGCAAAGTACACAGTTTCTCATCTAAGTTTGTGGTGCAATGAGTCATATGGATGGACATCAATATTACAATACTAAGTTTCACAAACAATAAACAGTTCCAAACTTTATTAAAGTAGCTCGTTTTGAAAAGCTCTGTTAACTGATATCAAATATGACTGTTGCCTTATAAATTATTTCCTCAGTTATATAATCTCTGATAGAAATTAATAGAATACAGTATACTTTAAAAGTGAAACTTAAAGATAGGTGTTTTGCAATTCAATTATCATAAACCCATATTTAAAATGTGTATTTAGTCATCCACCCATCTTTCCACATCAGTTTGATACCAGTTTTCAAAATTAACACACTCAAGACGATTGACAAAGTTGACAGATAAGATGATATATCAATGTCAAATTATCAACTATCAAAATAGAAAGTAAAAATGGATACATGCTGTCATTATTGGTGTGTTTAACTTCTCTCTCTGAGTGTTAAATGACTATTTTATTAGTGAATTCCCTGCTCTTTGTACAGCTAGATCATAAGAAGTATTACTTACTGTGTTACCAGCTAATATATTCATGTTTTAAGAGCAATAAACACTTTCATTGTTGATTTTAACTAAATAAGTATGAAAGTAAAACGTTTTAGTGAATATCCAGGAGTTATCCACTTTCCTCCTATTATCACGTAGTAAACAGGTCACTTTAGTCTTTTTTTACATAAAATGACTGGAACATGTTTAAGAGGTAGAATTTATCAAGTGTATATTGAACAAATGAACTGAAAACTTGAGGTTGATAAGAATTCAAAATGCAGTTTATTCTCACTATAATTTCATTTACTTTTAATAAAGCCAGTACGTATAAGAAATCCATAATAGATTGAGGTTCATGAATACGACTAAATAAGTTAAATTGAAGTGTTCTGATTCTGTTGATCCCGAATTTCTCTGTAATTCGTTGTAATATGATGTCTTAAAAATAGTTGTTGTTTTAGTGGTCATAGGTACTCGGATTTTAGAAAGTATTCATATTTAATTTCTAAATCATTTTGAGTTCATAAGCAAAGATGGATAGTGGCTAGCAGTGGAATCCAGGATGCGCGTTTCGCCCTATCTGGGACTCGTCAGTTGGATGTACGAGCATCTCAGAGTTGACAACAGACTGATCAATTGCAGTCTTAAACCTCAATGGGAAGATACAAGCAAGACAATACCAAGTGCATTTTGAGTTCAGTTTACAATCATCAGGGAAAATATATGCACAACAACAGAAATGTAACTGCATTTGCAAATATAACCATAAATGTAAACCAAAGTTTCTTCCTCGTCAACGGAATTTACATTGATTTTTAAAATTATGAACATATCCATATCTGGTATAATTAGAATATGTGCACCATATATTATATAAACTCGGAGTTTAACTCAGTTTGAAAAGATTCTTGAATATTTTATCAGTGATAAAAGTATACCCAAATGAAGTTAGCAATCACTGCCATTTACTCAATTTTGAACGTTCATTTTAATACTGTTTATCAGTTTCATACATAAATTAAATATAATAGTTAAACAATTGTTTCAACCAGATTCTGAATTATGTTGGCATTTTGCAAAACTCTGTGAAATTATTTACGTGTCTTTCTTATAGATAATTCAATACTTCCTCCTGACTACCCAATGGTCGTCACAGATCAACCAACGTCAAAAGTAACATTCAGTGATATACCAGTAACTTTACGTTGTCCGTCATGTGGACTAAATACTTTAACTACTTTGGAGTACAAAAATGGTTTATTAACTTACTTAGCTTCTGGTGGTATATGCCTAATTGGGTAAGTTAATGTTTTATCTGACTGTAATCAATCTATGATTATTGACAAAGTTTAAGTAGAGGATTTTATGTCCACGTTTAAAGGATTAAAGTAAATTGTTTCAACTTGATTAATTAAGCACAATTTTTACTCTGTAGAATTACTGAGCAAATGTCAATCTTGTGTAGACAATATTTTACACCAAAGCATACATTATTCATTAAGTTAGATAAAATATTCATGTTTGATCAGAGCTGTCATTTATTTGTTTCGCGATTAGTTTGCAGAAAGGTAGGTTAATAAAACAAACAGGATTTCTGACTTAAACTTATGTTTGGCACGATGACAAATTAACTCACTTCTATTATGGTGTTATTTAGTAGACATTGATGATAAATTTACTGCAATTATAAAAGATTATACATGAGAAACATGTGGATTTCAATGTTGAGGTTATTTCCTAGTTTAGATTCAGTTATGTTTTCATGCTAATATTCATTGACTTGATGTTAGCTGGTAATGACTGTCGTTTTCTAAGTGGATTGCTATTATGGTAATCTCACTAGACAAACATAAAAGAGTAATAGGATGTCCATAATTAACATAAAAGTTGAATAATAATGATCTATCATACACAAACACATTGACATGAGCACACTTGAACGTATTGTGTTTTGTGTTTGGAGTTAGTCTCGGAGTAAGAATAATTAAAGTACAAATTGAAAAGTGTTCTTAAAACATCAATGTGTATGTAAATGAGAAAAATCAATAGCATAGTTGTGATGTTAAAATATTCAAATTACTTTCGTACCATTATTTCAACTTTTAATGAACAAAATAATTAACGTGTTTTATGTAGTAGGCAGAAACTGCATCTATTTACCAAATATTAATTATGAATAACATAAAGGTACACATACACTCACATTCATTGTTTTTCACACTGTAAACTGTTCGCATTATTCACATCTTACTGACTCACACTTACTTACTTGCTAAAATCAATATCTGAATAGGGTTGGATAAGTGTTTTGTGATTTCATTCTTTGATGATTTTGATTATTTCACTGAAGAAATTCAGACAAGACTCTTGGATAAAATGTTAAAATTACTTAGATTTCAAATGATATAGATGGAGTAGTATACGTTGAGTAGAGTAATTATAACCAGGATTCTTATTGGCTAATCTAACGGTAATCGCTGTTGATTTCGATATCATAACAAATATAGTTTCTTCTTGGTTTAATTTACTAGCACTGGGTTATCGAAAATTATCCAATCAGACTACTCCTATTTGATCCTGTCTCCATGATGAATCAGTCAAGTCTCTGCTTCTAATATAACTAGGGTCTACGATATGTCGGTCTTTATGTGAAAACAATTTGTCTTTTGAAAATGTATGGTTTTGAGAATGAAATGTATTTTTTAGTAAAGAGGACTCTTGGCTGAACCAATAGTTTTGTGTGTTAGTCACAGTGTATTTATTTCGTTTATTTGAAAATTTTAATGGTTTAGTTTTCATAGGATGGTTCAATGCTATGATACTCATCATTAAGAAAGTAAATAAACTGAGATAAAATTGTATGAAACATTTCAGCTAATCCTTGTGAGAAACAAAATGAATAAAATATATTGAATGTAAGTGACTTGAAAACAGATTCACAGTCAGCTGAGTAGTGATAGTATCTTTGATTACTTGATTATTGAAACCTTGAAAGTTGATTGTAACCTGATTACAGGTTCCCTGATAGTTTGATGATTGAGTCTATTGGAAAAATTTTGTATATATATTCATCATTGGATTGAAGATCCTTAATATTCCCTTTGATCTGACCATATATTTATTCGAGTAAAATGGTCAGATAACAAACGAATTATCGTCAGATAATTTTTTTGTAGGATGAAGTCGATGTAAGAGTTTAGTTGAAACTATGCAACACGACTATGATTAGATACATTTCTTTGGTCAACCTCTTACTTTATGTAAGAAATCAATTTTCCTATTGACGTTTTATTTTTCTCACTTTTGTTAATCCTTCATTTTGATGGCTTTAAAATAAACAAATACCTAATGTGGTTACTTGTACCACATAGGCTGTTCTATTAAATCGTTTACATACATGAACTACATAGTCATACAGCTCTTTCGAAATGTGCATCGGTTGTTCTGTTTCCTGCAGATTTAAATTAAACACAGTGGTTGGTATTAGGACAACTTATTCAAGAAACATTTTGCATAAACAAATCAGGATTGACATATATGGAATGCCATTGTATATGATATATATTCTACAGTAATAGCATTACTTTGTTTGAATATCTACTAACAGTTTAATACAAATCATTTTTATTTATTCTACATTTTGTGTAGTGGAGTTTTAGGTTGTTGCCTTATACCATGTTGCATGGACAGTTGTAAAGATGTGAATCATATATGTCCACATTGTCGACGTGCCGTGGGAACCTACCACAGATTGGGAAACTGAACGTTCAATACGATAAGAGAAACAAAGTCAACCAATGATAATGAATTCCTATTTGACAAATAAACATAAAGTTCTAATATACTTACAATGTTAAAGTTAACTTTTCTTTTAATCTTGGTTTATGTTGTTAATAAGTTATTTTACGTGATTATTTATTTCTCTTCATTCCTCTGAATTTCTGTTAATTAAATTGTAAGGGCATTTTGTTTAATCAGATGTTTATGGATTAAAATAAAATCGTTAATGTTGGAATGGCCTTTAAGCTAATGTTAGCTTGAATAAGTTCATACGTTAAAATGAAAACAAATATAGGTAACATATAGTGAGAGGAATAACAATGTAGTTCAAATCGTATAAAATGTTTAGTGTAAGACTATGTAATGTATGAAGTTATATGAATTTAATAAAGAAAATCATAGTGTGGCTCGAGTGCCAATTAAATAACTTCTGTTTAGAAAACTAATAGTAATGTTGAAACAATAATAATGGTAGTGGCAATACTAGGAATAATAAAAATAGTAATGATCATAATATAAAGATATGTGAGTAAAAAAACAAAGACAATAATTATCAGCTTTTAGGGGTTGTGGAGATTGTTAAGTTTTTGATTGAGATCATGAACCGATTGATGTTAGACCATCATTGAAAACCTGGAAGCAATGGACTTTATCCTATTTATCCTATTTAGATATTCACAACATGATGGTTTAGTGTACCAGTAAGGGGCTATTCAATACTATTGATTGAATCTGTACAAATGACAGTATAGAAGAAAAAGTGATGCTACTACTTCTGACAACCAGAGCGACCATTTATTTAGGTACATGGAATGTCCGTACAATGTGGGACACCGGGAGAGCCTTCCAAATTGCTGCAGAAATCAGAAGATACAACCTAGAGGTACTTGGGATCAGTGAAACACATTGGACACAAGTTGGACAACAACGACTAACTACAGGAGAGCTCCTGTTATACTCCGGCCATGAAGAAGAAAATGCACCACATACACAAGGAGTTGCATTGATGTTGTCCAAACAAGCGCAAAATGCGCTTATAGGATGGGAATCTCATTGACCAACGATCATCAAAGCCTCCTTCAAAACAAAGGAAGAGGGTATTTCAATGAACATCATCCAATGCTATGCGCCTACCAACGACTACAATGAAGACGCTAAAGATCAATTCTACAATAGGCTGCAGTCAATCATCGAGAAGTGTCCAACAAAGGACCTGACCATTCTGGTGGGAGATTTCAACGCCAAGGTTGGAACGGACAACACTGGATATGAAGACATCATGGGACGACACGGACTGGGAGAAAGAAACGAAAATGGTGAGAGATTTGCAAATCTATGTGCCTTCAATAAGCTGGTCATTGGCGGCACCATATTCCCACATTAACTCATACACAAAACCACATGGACTTCACCGGATCACTCTACACAAAACCAAATCGACCATATTTGCATCAACAAAACGTTCAGGAGGACTATAGAGGACGTGAGAACCAAGAGAGGAGCTGATATAGCATCAGATCATCACTTGCTGGTCGCCAAGAAGAAATTGAAACTCAAGGAGCACTGCACAATGGGGCGGACAATATCACAAAAGTTCAATACGGCCTTTCTTCAGGATACTAACAAACTCAACAAATTCAAGATAGTCCTCAGCAATAAGTTCCAGGCCTTTCATGATCTACTCAATGGAGAAGGAACTACTGTGGAGAGCAACTGGAAGGGGATCAAAGAAGCAATCACTTCAACATGCCATGAGGTCCTGGGCCACAAGAAGCACCATCACAAGGAATGGATCACTGTTGATACACTGGATAAGATTCAAGAAAGGAGGAACAAGAAAGCAGCAATCAATACCAGTCGAACAAGAGCAGAAAAAGCCAAGGCACAAGCTGAATACACAGAATTAAACAAGTAATATAAGAGAAGCATCAGAACCGACAAACGTAAATATGTGTAAGATCTAGCAATGACGGTGGAAAAGGAAACATAAGACAATTGTATGATACAACTAAGAAACTCACTGGAAATTATCGTAAACCAGAACAACCAGTGAAAACCAAGGAAGGCAAAGTAATCACCAACATCGAAGAACAGCAAAATAGGTGGGTAGAACACTTCAATGAACTCTTGAATCGACCAGCTCCACTGAACCCACCCAACATCGAAGCAGCACCCACGGACCACCCAATCGATGTTGGCCCACCAACAATTGAAGAAATCAGCATGGCCATCAGGCGAATCAAGAGTGGCAAAGCAGCAGAACCAGACAACATTCCAGCAGAGGCACTGAAAGCAGACGTAGCGGCAACTGCAAGGATACTCCACATTCTCTTCAATAAGATTTGGGATGAGGAACAAGTACCAACAGACTGGAAAGAAGGACTTCTGGTCAAAATACCGAAGAAAGGCGATCTCAGCAACTGTGATAACTACAGGGGCATCACTCTTCTCTCAATACCGGGAAAAGTCTTCAACCGGATATTGTTAAACAGGATGAAGGACTGTGTAGACGCTCTACTTCGTGACCAGTAGGCAGGATTCCGTAAGGATAGATCGTGTACAGACCAAATCACAACTCTACGGATCATTGTGGAACAACCAATTGAATGGAGTTCATCACTCTACATCAACTTCATTGACTACGAAAAAGCATTTGACAGCGTGGACAGAACAACACTATGGAAACTTCTTCGACACTACGATGTGTCTCAGAAGATAATCAATATAATACAGAATTCCTATGATGGATTTAACTGCAAAATCGTGCATGGAGGACAGTTGACAAAGTCGTTCGATGTAAAGACCGGTGTTAAGCAAGGTTGCTTACTCTCACCCTTTCTCTTTCTCCTGGTGATCGACTGGATCATGAAGACATCAACATCTGAAGGAAAACGCGGGATACAATGGATATCTAGGATGCAGTTGGACGATCTAGACTTCGCAGATGATCTGGCCCTTCTATCCCAAACGCAACAACAAATGCAGGAGAAGACGACCAGTGTAGCAGCAGCCTCAGCAGCAGTAGGTTTCAATATACACAAAGGGAAAAGCAAGATTCTCCGATACAACACAGCATGCACCAATCCAATCAAAATTGACGGAGACGATTTGGAAGATGTAAAAACCTTTACATATTTGGGCAGCATCATCGATGAACATGGTGGATCTGATACAAATGAGAAGGCGCGGATCGGCAAAGCAAGAGCAGCATATTTACAACTGAAGAACATCTGGAGCTCAAAGCAACTGTCAACCAACACCAAGGTCAGGATTTTCAATACAAATGTCAACACAGTTCTACTGTATGGGGCAGAAACCTGGAGAACTACGAAAGCCATCATCCAGAAAATACAGGTGTTTATTAACAGTTGTCTACGCAAAATACTTCGGATCCATTGGCCGAACACTATTAGCAACAACCTACTGTGGGAGAGAACAAACCAGATCCCAGCGGAGGAAGAAATCAGGAAGAAGTGCTAGAAGTGGATAGGACACACATTGAGGTAAGCACCCAACTGAGTCACAAGACAAGCCCTCACATGGAATCCTCAAGGTCAAAGGAAAAGAGGAAGACCAAAGAACACATTACGCCGAGAAATGGAAATAGACATGAAAAAAATGAACAAGGATTGGATGGAACTAGAAAAGAAGGCCCAGGACAGAGTGGGTTGGAGAATGCTGGTCGGTGGCCAATGCTCCATTGGGAGTAACAGGCGTAAGTAAGTACTAAACGAAATATTGATAGAGAATAGATATCTGCCAAAACTCATAAACCGATGGTTAGGTTATAGCACGTTGATACTTACTGTGCTTTTGGCATTCAAAACTGCTGTTCATATCACTCTATCATTCAAAGTTGAGTTAATCAGACTAGTGTTGAAACTAACGCCTAATCTGTTGTCCATAGGATATACTATGAGCCGAAACCCACCATTATTGAGAAAGGATCTATGACTTACCCAAAACCTAAACAACATGTTGAAAATTGATTTACATCCCATAGTCTTCACTAATTTACATGTATGTGGACATATATAAATAGGGAGGAAGAATCATGATTTGCAAATTGAGGCACCCGAAAGGGCTTCAAAAATAAATGAGAATCCAGTCACCCAAAAGGAGCAGATGACACACACAACTTTCTTTATTCCTGAACACAGTAGAAACAGTTTGATCATAATGATTGACACTAAGTTGGATTTTGTGGTGCTGTATAAGAATTATTTACAGTGAAGGCTTAAGCCATAAGAAATTTCAAGCATCTTGCCTGCATTCAAAGATAATTTGAGCTTTCACTAAACCTGTCTTAGTAGATAGACTTATTACCTAGTGATGTGATACCTACTATCTCCCCATATCATTTTTTTCCCTTATCTTACAAAATGTCGAGTTTGAACCCCCTCCCCAGTCAAATCACGCGAAACAAATAAACGCCATTCTATCCTTTCTGTATAGATCACGAACAGATTCGCTCGAAAGATGATATTTAGCTGCGTTATAACACAGAGTGTTTTCAATTCTGAAAGAGTGCTTCAGTATGCAATCAAATATGCACAATTACAGTAAATGCAAGAAGCTCAATCAAAAAGGGGAACAAATCAATAAGGCTGCCGCCAAGACTAAGTAACAACTAAAACAACATAAATGTAGTTCATGAGAAACATGTAAGCTCAGTAAAGGCGTAAGAAGAACAAAAATCACAATAAAACACAATTAGTACCATCTCCAATGGACTCGAAAGGATTAACAGAATGTACATGTAGATGAATCGAGAGGAACAAGTTACAGGTGTATACGTGGAGGGATTTTCAAAAGCGAAACCTTCAGCGAAACGAATTATCATTGCTGACTCATCCTTCTGTCCATGACGTGCTATCGATTAATTCGACTTGGTTGTCCTTGACGTTGACAAGGCTCAGTCAGCTATCCAATATTCAAAGGTCTTCCCACTGGATCGTTCGGCTTGGACTTTGTGATATTTTGCTGGCCTAAAAGCAACATCACTTTTGAATGCCGATAAACCACTGCCTAAAGGCAATTATTTGTTACTACACACTGAAAATGCTATATATACAATCTAGCAAGGTAAGGAGAGTAGGATCATCAGGTGTTATTTTGTATTATTTTGAACGGCATTGCTTCTCTTCATCATTTCATGTTGACTCTTAGTGCTACGCAACTAAGTGGCGTTCGTTATTTATTGGCCAATAGAGAAGCAGGTTAGCAGTGAAAGCTAGAGAACTTATTTGATCATCAGCCAACGATTAATTTTTTTACAATGTTTATATGTAAAATAAGCATGATTCTTCTGTATTTGTTCTTGTTTTGTAATTTACAACAACCACGGAACTTGCAAAATACACTATCCAGCAAGGTAAGGAGTGTAAAATCATACGCTTTCTTCTGATCTAAAACCGAAACATTCTGGCAAATGACTTCTGGACTTGATTGCAAACCAATTTTAAGATAACGTCAACCACGAGTAGATCAAGAGAGAATATAAACTTTGAACTTTGTTCGGCATAATCGGCAAACCGTTTGTCCCCTGGAATCTGGGTCTGAGAAGTAGGAAAGTAATAATGATGACGCAAAAGTTCGGTTCGTGTCTTTCCTTTTCAAACTGAAGAGTGGACGAATTTAGTCACCAAAAATTGAGGCAATCGAAAAGTAATAAAAAGAGTGACTACCCTCGCTACCAAGGCGACTTAAGCGAACGTTTAGCGTTCTTTTGGAAGAGAACTGAACGTGTCGTTAATATCACCCGTGGTGCTGAATTTCATAGTTAAGTGATATTATAACGAAAGTCTACACAAATTTTTGTGCGAGCTCAATAGTGGTCTGTTTTATATAGACCTCCCATTCGGTGTAATTTGCAGCCAAATGAATCAATGATTTGCTAGGTTGAGGGGGATCGTCAACAATATGATACATAATGATCATATAATGACAACTTCCAGACAGTACGGATTACCGATTTACATCTCCTAGGAGAGCGCCTGCTGAACCATTTCTAGGAGAGTGAAATTACTTTTGAAGTGGAGAGTCACAACCGTGTAGCTTGTAACGTATGTATGGACCAGGTTAACATGCAGGTTGTTGACGTATATGACGAGTTAAAAATAATGAACATGACCAGAAAATAGTTTTAAAGTTTAGACTGCTTGTGAAACTTCAGGCAGGAATATGATGCGTTATAAACATTCCATAAGGAGTTACTGCATTTAGCCTAGGGACACTTACAAATATATAGCAAAAGGAACCGGAAAACATATACATGTTAAGTAAAAAAAATCATTAAGTAAAATAGTTGAACTCGCCTGGGTTATTTTTGAAAATTAGATTATTCGGTGGACGACATATATAACGCCATTCGTGAGGAGTAGTAATGATCCAAAAGTATCCAGAATAAAACATGCAGTATGGCAATTAATCCCAGGGTGCTTGATGCTGTTGACGTTTTCGCCACTCGCTCGGATTAGAACAACCGAATGAATTCAGATAATTGTGCGGTCACCATTGAACGAGCCACCTAAAATGACCTTATGATTGCAGAAAACTTATGGCTGAAACTCACCGTATGTTTTTAGAGAAGTGTCATCCTTGTTGTTTGGCAATGGAACTCGAAAATATGAAATCAGGCAGGCAGTGGTCAGAAGAAAAGATATTACAGGATAGTGCATAGTTTAAAACAGGATGAGGTGATAAGATAAGGAACACTGAATATTAGATCCAGGTAACTATTTAGTCCTTGCTGCATTGTTAGACAATGTATATTTGCGTTATTTACTGGTCATATTTGCTAGAGCTTGATGCTTAAACAAGCCTATGTCGCTGAAGCATGTAAATGCTATTAAAGCTTGTTAACGAACCATCAAAGCTAATTAGTTAATATAGACGACCAGTTTTTATTATCGAATGAGCTAGTAAGTTATGTGAACTAATAGATATAACATTACGATAATATATGTGACCATTAATCAAAGGACTATTAGAATAGTGGGTTTACAAAAATAAAATCCGATTGAGAAGGTTAAGGTGGAAATAAGGATTAACAATAATAGGTTGCGTTTCTTTAGTTGGGCTCACCAATGTAGAATTATGGTCTACTATGATATTAGTACTGCTCTAATAATAGACCTAATCCTGAAATTGTAGATTTGTCATGATATAACTGCCTAATCTATAAGATCTTACGTGGAAGTCACATCATAGTCTACACCAACTCACCGTATCGTAACAACTACCAATACATGATGAAGAACAAGCTTAGGCTAGAGAAAGAACAATATATTCAATATGAATAGGCGATATAAGGTAACATTCAGCAGAGACCACGCCTGCATGGCCGAGCCATGCCACTCGATCAACCCCAGTCCATTCAACTCATTGTTTGCGCCTTCTCCATTGTTAGGTATTTCTCCGCGTTAAATATTGGATATCTATTTTCTGAGTAGTCTCGTGTTCACAGCTTTGTGGATTGTGTGGCTATTGTCCAATGCCACTACAAGCTCTCCTAGATGAGATCTTAGGTAAACACTAAAAACAGGTTCAAACGGTTCCTGAGTCATGCTACCTAATGTTATAGAAAGAAAGACCGTGACGTCCAAAATATCATAAAAAGTGTCGCTCAAGTCCTTAACTGTGATGAGTAATATGGTGGCGGAATCTCCGAGGAGCTATGCGGTTAACAAAGTGTCACTTCCGCTCACCATTGATGTCCTGAGTTTAGTGGTAATAATGGTATAGCGACATGTAAATCCAGCAATTTTGCAACGAAAAAAAACAAAGACAACGTTCATTTATTTATTCTTCCTTCATTTACGACTAGCATACCTCCGCCGACGTACGCCCCAAAGGAGGGAACTATTTAGTGAGATGCATGTTCAATAATTTTATAGCGATCAAAATAAAGACTACATTTTTTCATCCGTTTGTGACACTGTGCGTAACCATATATATTCAATTTCTGTTGTTTGTTTTTGTCAGTTGTAAACGGACATAATCAAATGAATCATTAAGATATACTCCACTGTCGTTATTCAAATAAATCCCGTCTCCATAGCTTGTTATTCCGCTTGACTAGAGACGGCTCGTGATCGAAGATTACAATACTGTTAAAACATCCTCCCAGGCAGTTCCACGCTATGTAGAAATTTCACTGCGGATTATTACTTAATCATTCTATCGGATTTATACTTCGCTTTACTCCTTTGGTACCCACCGTACAGGGGAGCCTTATTTAGTTGGGTGGACTGCTTTTGTGGTTGTTATCTTAGAAGACGATACAAGTAACATAAACTTCATAAGAGTCATCACATTAGTTATTTAATATGCCATTATGTTCTATTCATGGACAGTGGTTTCAGTTCACAATATTGTTTCTTTGGCGTATTATTATTAACTCTCCTTTTTCTTAACTGGAGTCCAACACATGGGAAGGGTTTTCACAATGGAGTTGTGTATGTTATTTAGTTTTTCCCCGCGAGACGAAATATCATCTAGCCCAACCGTTTTCCTCCAGATCATAAGATCACCTGAGTAAAGAAGAGATCGAGAATCTACAGTACGACTGACCTTACGTCTGTTAAACCTCGTCGGGGAGCAAAAGCCACCTACCAGCACTCCTCTTATCGGACCCTGTTCTGGACAGTCCTTTCCAGCTGTCTCCAGTTACTATTCGTTCTTTACATGTCTGCCTTCAATTCTCGACACGGTGTGCTCTTTGACCTTCCTCTTTTCCGTCCCTCCTCGAAACTACAAGTTAGCTCTTGCTTCGTGATGCACTTCGATGATTTCCATAATGTACGTCCTATCCAACCCCAACGTCTCTTCCTAATTTCCACTTCGGCTGGAACCTGGTTTTTTCTCTCTCACGAAAGGTTGTTGCTGATGCTATCCGGCCAATGGATATTGAGTATTTGCGTAGACAATTGTTTATAAATACTTGTATCGTTTTGATATTGGTTGTGGTAGTTCTCAAAATTTCAACTCCGTACAGTAGAACTGTCTCGACGTTCGTACTGAAGATTCTGACTTTTGTGTTGGCTGACAGTTCTTTTGAGTTCCATATATCCTTCAACTGTTGGAATGATGTCCTTCCTTTGTCAATCCTACTCTTTACGTCCGCATCAGATCCTCCTTGTTCATCCATTATGCCGCCCAGATGGGTACGTGAAAAAACTCACCTCTTCCATAGTTTATCCATCAAGTGTTACTGGGTTGATGTCCTCCATGTTGTATTTGAGGATGTTTTCCCTCTATGTATTTTGTGATCAACTGAATCAGGGGCTGCTGCTACACTAGTTGTCTTGACTTGCATTTTTTGGTATGTATGGGATAGAAGGGCCAGGTTATCTGCGAAGTCCAAGTCTTTTAGTTGACTCTGAGCTGTCCATTGTATTCTGCGCTATTCCTCAGATGTCGAGGTGTCCATGATCCAGTTGACCATTAAAACAAAGAGGCATATTAACGATAATAGGGGGGGAAAAAGAAATTGATAACTCATAATAAGATGTTGTTCTGAGTCCTTAAAAATAGGTCAAGTTGCTTTTTAAAGGACACCTGAGAAGTCGCTTGAACTAGCTCAGTCGGCAGCGAACTCCAGCATTTGACAACTCTTAAGGAGTAGAAGTTGTGTCTACAGTCCGTCCTGCTATGTCGCATCTCCAATTTCTGGGTGTTATCCCATGGATTTGTATTGAGACTAAGCCTAACTAGGTGTTTAAGTGGATGTCCAGATGGGTTAGAATACTGTAAGCACTCTGAAGGTCACCTCAAGGACTAAGTATAATATCTTACTATGATATACCAATTTCTTTTCCCCACTCTATTATCGTTATTATACCTAGGTTCCTGCCTGGAGGTACTGGTGATCCACTGTTGCTAGACACGGAAGCCTGTTAAGCGAAAGCTTCTTCTATTCCGTCTACAACCATTTGAACCACTTGGCGGGAAAAACAACAAGTTCAAGGTTTGTTAATTTCCTACTTCGCCTTTTTAACCCTTGTCACTTTCTCGAAATAATGACAAAGAGCCTGGTTCCCCATGGTATTATTATACTTATATTACTGAAAACATCAACATTATATTAATAACGACAATAAAGTTCATACATTTCCCACGTAGGTTCAAATTGTCTGCAAGTAACACGTAATTACAGAAGCTAATGCATATACAATAAGTTTGTCAGAAGTGCCTTATTGCATCATAAGTGAAAGAGTCGACGGATGGAGCCTCAACCACGTGCTGAGGTAATGAGTTCCACTCGTTGATGATTCGATGGGGAAGTTGATAGTCAGCTGACAAGTTCTGGGCTTGTGAACCTTTTTAGAGTGTCCTCGTAAATTCTCTGTTTTGGAAGACAAGAAAAATGAGGGCATATCAGGTGCAAATTTATCGCTAAGCAATTTGAAATCTGTAATCAAGTCGCCTCTAGTTCTGCGTTATGACAACGGGAAAAGGTTCAGCTTGGCCAGTCGAGATTCATACGGAAGCTTTGCTATTCCGGGAATCAGCCTAGTCGCCGTTCTCTGAACCTTTTCCAGAAGCTCACTGTCTTTTTTTAAACAGAGGCGAGCCGCTTGTATGCAGTACTCAAGTTTAGGACGAACGAACACTGTATACAAAGTCAAAAACGTTTTAGCGTCGACATGACTAAAAGCTCTACGTATTGACCATAAGGTTCTAAAACCTTTGGCGGCTATTGCACGGCAGTGTGCAGTAGTCTTTAAGTCTTAACTAACGATAACTCCTAAGTCATTATATGTCTGGACGACAGGTAGCTCAGTGTTATTCATCGTGTATGTATCTGTACCTTGATGACCAATATGCACCACAACACACTTGGAAGTATTTATTGGCTAATAATTGCACTTTGTTATGTCGTTATGAACCAGAATAGTATTATTCTTTTCGGAACATTTCCATAGCACGACTGCGTATGTACATCTTTCCGACGAATGTCTAAATTTATGATTTCTAATTAATAAAACAAGTCTTTGGATTCGTGTCATCTTGTTACACTTGTCACTTTTAAGTCTGTTCTAGACTTTTATGTATGATGAAGTTTTTGTATGCTTGTATTAAAACCTTTATTTGTGTCTCCGTATGCTTTGTAAGTTGTTAGCTTTTTTTTCCTGTTATTTTTCAGTCTTATATCAGCTTGTTAGACCTACAACACCAGCCATACACACCCTAATCTCTGATTTAACCGTCCCAAGCGGTTTTGCAATTAAGAAAGAAAGATTGTAACTGACGAAAAAGCAGTGTTAGTGTCATGATTTTGTATCACGTCTCCTTGCTGATCTTTCTTACGTTTGTTAGAGTGGACACTATGACTGATTTCGTCTTACCATCTAAATGTGAAGGTTGGACACTGATTTGGTCTAAAGTGTAGTTTGCAAGTTTCTTGTAACAGAAATTCTGTCTCGTCTTCAAGAAACCAAGTCAAGTGATACTCTGAATTTAAGATCTGTCCAAGGGGATTCAAAGAAGGTTAAATATGAAACATCGTTGGTCTTTACCTTGGTTTACTTTATCACTTATTAGAGAACTCAGACTTTATGAAGTTCTGGAAGATCCTCCTATTTGCAACAGGCTACTTCAGTACAAAGTTCATAAAGAGCGTCAAGACAGTAGCAGATTTGACAAAGGCACACCTCAGACAATGAAGTCTCTTACGGAACTGGTGTATGTCGCTTTTAATGTTTCTTTAATTTTGGCAGGAACCGTGGCGTTGATGTGAAGCTGGATGTCCCTTTTGAGCTGTGGGATAAACCGCCTGCAGAAGTCACAGCCTTATTCAAGGAGGTTAGTCTACTGAGTAGTGCTTAATTTAGAAGTGTATCCCACTTGTTAATGAATACCAAGACATTATAGAAGAATGGTTTTACAACAATCAAGATATAAATCTTTATGATTACCTTTGCCGTGAAAATGTTCTAGACAAATCTTCTCAAGGTTAGCACTTTTTTAAACGTGATTTTTCGATTTATTCGTGATGATCAGTCTCAACAAAATGTTTCTTATATGTGACATTTATAACCTTTTGATCGAGTTCCGAGTGCATTTTTACTTTATATTTCAAGTAAACTGATAAATTCCCCAATCAGTGAAATATGACTTAGTTTTGTTTATTGTCAGCGAGTTCTATATCAAATGCACGAAAATCACTAGATTATTAATTACATATTTTATGTGAAAGAAAGTGATATTATGTGGTTGCCAAAATCATGATGGTCAAAAAAAGGTTCGAAATTTGAGTGTGTATATAAACTACCATGTATTACAAGCCTTTTTAACATTTAGAAACCACTAAACTTCACTTATGTAGATTTCCACAAAATTTGGGGATTGAAAGTTGTCTATTTTTACAAAATAAAAATCACCTGTTTGTTTCAGTACATCATGAAAGGTTTGTATATAATGCTAAGCAAACAATTTCTTACAATTATTAAGTTGAAGTTATTTACTTTATAAATTCGTGCTAGACTTACTGACTGCTATAAACTTACGATGGAAAACTTGCCTTTAAGTACATAACTCCATATTTTTCGTCTAGTTAACTCGCGTTTCACATACTGCTCACTCCTTGCAGTTGTCAATCATAACCACTAAAGTCTTTAAATAATAATAACTTATCATTTCCTTTAAGCCACAATACAACATTGTCCTTTAACAAAATAATACGACAGACTCGATTAAAATCATAACTGTTGCTCATAAAGTCATTTTCAAATGGATGAAGTTGTTAATTCGTTATATATGAATACATTTCAGACGAAAAGCTGAGATTTCATTTTAAACATGTTTGTGATATATTTCAGATTAACTTTCGAAACAATTACTAAGTCAAGCAATCACGAGGAAAAACGCTATCACGCGTTATCTACTTATTAGGAAATGTTAACTTTAATGTTTTTTATAAAAAAACAACAACATTGTTTTGATAAAATTAAAAAGGAGCCATATACAATAGTTCAGGTTATCACACTAAATAATCATTAAAATTAATATCAAATTAACTAGGAAAGGCAAATGTGAGTTAAACCTGATTATATAAATCACTGGTCCACTGAATAGTAAAAACAATCCGATGCTGAAGATTTGAAGCTTCGTCCTACATTAATCATGGCTCAGTGTGAAATGGGAGTCCAGCACGTAACTGTTTTATGTACTAATGAATAGAATTTCATTAGAAGTATATATTTCTCAAATCAATAAATGATAAATATATCGTAAACATTCGTTCACTGGTTTTTCAATGCTTTGTGGGAACTACATACCCAATCATCTCGTTAATAAACAATACAAAACCACAAATCAACCCTAAACTTCATTGTACTTCCTAACAACAGTCATAATTAAGTCATTTACAGTTCATGAATGGAACTGATTTGTTTGCAAGTTGATCTACTTAACTCCTATCTAATGGGACAAATAGTCACGAGTTTATTAACACCCAGGAGATTATAGGTCACAGTTCTGTTAGTTTCTTCGCAAAGATAACATGCCGTTAGTAAAGAAAATGTCAATCAATGGTTCCAATGAGAATAACATCTTTGGAGATTTCTAACTTATGTGTTTAGTGTGTTTTTAACCATGTTAGTGATAACTTTAAATATAATGGAAATTTTGTGGCTGGAGTTCACCATAAGTTAAGGTGCTTCACACCAATGTATTAAACTTTCAACATGGAAATATATCGACAATATGAAATCACTGAGAAAAAGATCAGTAATAATGAACTTATAGCCAAATTTCAAAGGTAGTACGGGGGACCAGTTGGCTTTGTTTATTAATTTGTTCATATCACTTTCTTAAATCAGTGCCACTATCTCAAGTTTTGACGTGTACACTTAACCTATCTGCCAGTCGTAGTTTTGCTCCTGTGATTTATTCTTTTAATAAACTAACGAATTGGCATATTTTATTTTTCAGGGTGCTTGGATGAAAAATCTCCAAATCAACCAAAACATTCTCCAGGTTTGAACTAAGATTTTCTCCTTGCATTTTCAAAATACTGTTGATATCACAAAACCTTTTATACATGTCCAGCACTGTCCCCTAAACGTTTCTAGAATGCACAAAGTTTGTGACACCATTAGTAGTAGTCAAGGATCAATTTTGTAGACTCGTAACCACCATAATTTTTAATTTGCTTTCAATATCATACAAATTTTTAAACTTGTATTCACATGGATACCCGGTGTGGTTTTGAAGGTTATCTATCAGTGAAGTAAACTAAATGTAATAATTTACTTGATACAGGATCATTACAAGTTTCTTCAACGTTTAGCATAAAGAAGTCAATATTCCCTTTAACTAAGAAAATAATCGGTTGAAATTAATCCTAAAAATATTATTTACGTTTGTTCTCACTATCCATTGACCAAATGGTCAATTTTATAGTCTCTTCCGATTCCAAAGTGTAGATAGATAATCAAATATTCGCAAGCAATGTATAGTAACCCAAGACTTTGAAAGGTATACTTTATTGTTAATTTTCACCTTACTGTATTGACCTATAAACCCTAATACATGTATCGCCCAACAGTCATCTTTATATTTGAATAGTTTGCTTATGTTGTACTGAATTAGTATTTTTTCTCCTCACCTATCCTACTCTGGATTATTACATTGCAACATACAAATACACATCGATCTACGTTTCTTCATACACTCTCCGTCCTGTTATAATGATTTTAGTTGCGTGGTGAACGTCTAAACTTCGCAAAGTAAAGCATGTCAAACATTTGTTAATAATTATATTAATATCTGTAACTTAAAGTTGTATGCAGCTGATGAAAAACCGTGAAATAGAATGAATTCACTTTATTCCGCAAAAGCTGTAGTTGCTGCTCTGCTTAAATTAATTTTGCATTCATAGTTGTAAGGCTTTAAACCAGGTTACTTGTCTGTAATTGTAATAATCGATTCTTGGAATAATGAGTCTAACCCACAAACCTTTTGGAAGTTTCAGTTGTCTTAGTCACTGCAACAACTCTGTACATTATTAAGTAGTCGTTTGTTAATTGATTCCCACAAGTTTGGTGTCCTTTTTGGTATTGATAATTAAAAGTAATTGATATTTAATATTATTTCTTGCTTATTTTATTTTAGAATCACACCAGTCGGATGAGTTATAATTTATGTACAACACATTGGCGTCACTCTTGACCAGTTTTTATTGGTTCTACATTTGGATTCATAGGGTTTTTGCACGTGTAACTGCATTTCAAGTGAACCTTTTCTACTGACCAATAATTGTATCGTATATTCCTTTTTTCAACTAAATGTTGGACATTTGTAATCAGTTTGTTATTACGTTTACCTCACTCTTTCATTAGATTGGAATGATGTTTTGGTCAAAAACTGAGTTATTATGTAGTTAAAATCCTTTCAGATTTTACATTTGCCTAAAGATATTATTGAAATAATTTATTCGGATATAGCCCCTAACATGTTAGTTTGAGGTATTCATAAATAAACAAAGATCATCAACATAGAACCTGGCACAATAATGCGTTTCCCCCAAGTTGCCATGCCATATTAGTACGACGAGATGAAAATAAAAGAGATCAACATAATTTACTAGCAATAATAAAAAATGACCACAATTTATAAATATGGTTAGAAAAGTATGTATGAAGCGATCCTGGGATTAATGATCGAATGGAAGATAAAGTAAATGTATCTGCAAAATTGTGGCCGGTTGTAGGACATCCAACCAATGATCACGGTTGTCATGCGGACTTTAATCAGGTATTCTGTATATACCACTATGGCTCAGACTAGTAATCAATGACTACATGGGTTGGTGTCACGTTTTGGTTTGACTGCTTCTAGTCTTCCAACATACCGCACTAGTAAGCATCATCCATCAAGATAAGTAGAGGTTAGATTTATATAACATATGACCCAACCACTTTAGTGAGTGAACCACACCAACCGATTTGCCACTTTCCCCACATACTCTAAGCTTAACGCCGATATTACTCACTCCGTCATTCAATGAAACGTGAGCACTTCTTTGAAGGACTCGTTTGATCAAAACTCTGCAACCTGATCATGTTTTCTATAGTAATAGACACGGCTATAAAGTGGATCTGAACAGATAGCTACACAAGATACACGCTCTTTGGTCACCAGACAAACATCTCATCCACAACATGGCCCAAATTAAGAAACCCCAGCCGCACTTTCTAAATCCGTGCCGAGATTTTATTGCACATCAATCCACCAGAATTGATTAAACTTCCATGATAAGTAAATTAATCGATACACTCGACTACTTCACTGCCTATCAATAATTGAGTCCTTGACCCACACCAGTCCTGAAGTAACATTTTACATTAAGAGAGAGAAACCCATCCCGAACACGCTAGCCGCTGCTGAAGGCGATCAGAAGACTGGATCTTGTCAGCGTTTTCAAATAGAACTGTCATATGCGTACTCTACGTTGATAAATGGACATCGTATGGGGAAATAGACTCCTAAAAAGTTAGGTGGACGAAGTGTTATTTTGAAGAGGACGTCTGTAATTGAGTCAAATAAATTTACTAAGAGACGTTTAAGAATAGTATGTACTTTACTTGGGCATACCCAGGCTGTTCAATAATCGATGTAGAAATTTCCGTGAGTCTATGATTTCTTGCTATAAGAAATCTCATTACTTTTCAAAAAACTATTAAACCAAACCCTGCGCCGTTGTATGACCATGGATGGGGGATCTCACTCTCCACAATTGAAATCACAGGTCGATGTAAGCGAGACCACCATTAAAAACCCTAAAAGTACCGGACGTCGGTTTCGTTCCAGTATGAAACTCATCAACAGTGCGCACCCACGGTCCCTCACGCGGAATTCGAACCTAAGACTTTTGGTTTGGTGCGCGATCGCTAAGTTGGCATCCGACGGTATTAATTTCTAACCAGTCGATCCATAATCTTGTACGACCATTCATCAGCTGCCTGAGATGAATAACTGTCTCACACCCGACACAGATTGGACTTCACTGGTCGTGGCTTCTTCCTAGAATTCCTGGAGTTACACCTTGAAGCCAGTCATTAGTTATTTCACTCTCCCTCTCGAAATGCAGTCATATGTCTACGGTCTAGGATCGTGATTGGATAAATAAACGTTCATCGACTATTATGAAACCATATTTGACGTTTCCTCATTACTTAGTGGATTAAACCCCTAGATCTAAAGCTCAGGAAATATCCTCTCAAGGAAAATACGTGCTTCGTTTTAGACGTCTGCGCAGAATCCCAGCTCACAAAAATGATGCTAACCATCGAAGAGATTGTTTCCGCTTCGTTTTCATCATATTCGCTACCACGTGGTTACATGTAAATTTTGTTTTACACTACATCATTCTTTTATTCTCATTATGTGTACTTTTACCCTTCAACTCAGCATTTCGTCTATGTTACAAACTTCTATTTAAGTGATCTGAAGTTGCTGAATAGTCGATTTTATAAACGCCCCACAGAATATGAAATCTAATACGGCTTATTTGAAGCCATTTGAGCTGGCCTCTAACTTTCACACACTGATTCAGATTAGATAGCCAAGAAGTCTAACTATATCTTCGGAATGTCTTAATATGGATGTACGTTGTATTTATACGATTCCCATTCAAGACTAAATATGAACTGCAATTTAGTTCTCCGTTTGTATAAATCAGTTAAATATTATTTTTGCAATGTTAGATCCGGTTTCTCAGCCATGGTGTTTAGTCAGTTAGCTACAACGTAGGACCAGACACATATATGCATCGGTCCAAGTTGCCATATCTCATTAACACAACAAGATAAACACCGAATTCATAGAAGTAGTTGCTTCAATGGTAGTAATATATAAAAGAAAGATTGTGTATAAGGATATAGTACAGAGAGGGAGAGAGGATTAGTTCGTAGAAAGAAAGGCATAAAGTAATTTCAGTCTCACGGTTTAAGGGAAGACAAAGAGTGTATACACCTACGCCATTGTGACCGATTCTGAGCCATGTCACCCACAGTCTCCAACCATTGGTTACGACAGTCACACAGACCCTAACCAAGTAGTCTGCATCTACCAATATGGCCCAGACTACAAGTTAGTGACTTCAGGGACTGATGCGACGTTTTGGTTTGGCCGCCCTCTTAACTTTCTTCCAATCATCTCCAACACCGGTTAGCATTGCACGTCGTGGTAATCGGTGTTCGGGCATACGTAACACGTAACCCAACCATCTCAGTCGATGAAGATTCACAACCTCATCAACTGATTTACCATCATTCCCTGATACCCTGCACGTCTAACTTCACTATTACTTATCCACTGATCCCAGTAGATGCGAGCAATATTTCTAAGGCATCTGTGATCAAATACTAGTAGCTTACGAGTGTCTTCTACTCTTAATGGCCATGTTTCGCTGTCGTAAAGTAGGACAGAACGAATTGCTGCACAGTATACTCGTCCCTTAATTGATAGACATATATCTCGTCTTCATCATAGGTGACGTAAGTTGGCAAATGTGAAACGAGTTTTTTGAGTCTGTGAAGAGGTTTCGTAAAACACCAACCCATTGGGGCTGATCAGACTTTCAAGATAAGTGAAGTTGTCGACGTGTCCAACCACTTCACTCCCTATCCTTAATTCAGGTGTTGACGCGGGCCAGTCTCGGAGAAACAACTTGTACTCAGAGAGGGAGGAACGCATTCCAAACAACCTGTTGTTGTTGCTCAATGCTACAAAAATACTGTATTTTATCAGCGTTCTCACCAAACAGTACTTTAAGTAGCGGTTTAACTGACTTTTAAGGACTAGTTCTTCAAACATCAACGGTATTTTGAAAATCATTCTTCAAGAAAGTAGTGAAAATTCATAACTTAATGTCAGTTTAGTCTTTTGACTAAATAAGTGGGTTAGGCCTACCTTTCATATAACTGATGTATTGGTTTCTTATATACATGGAAGAAATTATCTCGTCGTGAGAGATGCATGGGTCTTGGACTGGTTATTGTATTTCTGAATGATACGAAAGTGACATAGGACTTGTATCCATCGATGCGTATTGTTCCAAATTACCAAACCTGGTGTTGGCATGACTAGCAAAAAATAACGATGTGTGTGTTCCCCACCATCAATGAAACACTCGGAGAAATTAATGGAATCGAGATATGAGTGGTGTACATAATGTGATTATTAGGACGAAACGTAGTCACATCCGTACCAGGAGCGCCTACCTGTACGATTAACTTGGGATGGAATTTTGCTTTCTTTATCCAACTTATCACAGTGTAATGAATTCATTATCTGATATCATGGGTTTAGCTGACCGATCTAAGTCTGTTCTTATATCAATCAACAGGACATCTGGTTGTGGCTTATTACGGATAACACATTAACTGCCCTAATTGATAAATTTTCTGGACTTTATGTTTTCAAAACGTGAATTAAGATGGTTGTAGCATATAAGTCTTCAACTTTTGCGGGGAATTTCTTAGCAACAAGACTAGAACATGACTCTCTGATCAGTCATTTCAAGAACTAAAACTTGTCGACTTTCAGAAAATCGCACCCATTACTGTCTCACGACACCTGTTTTACGCTTCAGTTTGACAGCCTATTTCTATGCTGATAGTTTGTGTAAGAATCTTCTGATCTGATAGCTATTAATAGTGTTAGGTATTATTTTTTTGTTTGGGCGCAGTAATTTTGCATGTCATATTTACTATATTTAGGGATTTAGTCATCTCCGGTGAGCCACTGACAGATTGGGCGTCCTAAGTCCATGTGTAGCTACACCGAGAAATATAATTCTTGGATAACCCTCACCATCCGTGAATAACGATAAGATTTGTGCTTGATAACTGTCAATTATATGACCGTGTCTTTTTGATTATTTTAAAATAACGATCCATCATTTTAATCTCTCGCTGTCGTTTCTCGGCACTGTATATGATAATTAGACAGTAAGTTATAATCGATAGAGAGCGTAGCACTAATATGCATTGGCCTAGACTGCCATATTATATCAGCAAGACGAGGTGAAATCAACATAATGGATAACAAAGGAGTCGAAATAATTTTAGTACTTATGACGAAGAAAAAGACCAAACATTGATTTGATATGGCATGTGAGTTTGCATGTAAACTCCCGCGCTCATAATTAAAGCCGATAGGAATGTTTCTAACTATCTTTTAATTTAGTGAAAGCTCCCCAAACCAACTGATGTTTTTTTAAACCTTTAGTTTAGGTTGCTGACATATTTTACTGCTGTTTGGAGATCGTGCTACCCTACCTGGGCATGCACTTTCTCTGCGTGGGCAACTATGTGCTTGGTCTTTTTGGTCAAGATGAGATGTCTGGACCGTTTGGATTTTGGCTATAAAGAAACTGGAGACTGTCCAGAGCGTACATTCCTATTCTTCAGTTTCTATTTAATCAGAGAAAAATTCAGTCCGTTATTATTTTTCTTTTAAACTGAGTAGTATACACATTTATGGAACTACAAGTCGTCAAGTGAAATAAGCAAACTTAGAAGTTATCTACTTAACGGCAAAAAGTATTATGAAAGCTCAGACTGATCGGTGTAAAACAGCTCGTTCACATAGCAGCTGGACTAAGTATACCTCATGATTAGAAAATGTCGTGCATAGACTACGAGAAGGGTGGCGGTGATTGGAAGCATTACTGAATAAGACAGTTCAATAAACGATTCTTCAAGCACCTGGAAGAAACAACTAAAGGAACAATTAAACTGGATTGCTGACTGTATACATAGAAATAGAGACTGATGGTGTAATTTGCTGTAATAGACGAGAAGCACCACACCTCAGGCAAACTACTATTCTTAGATTCAGCAATAACTTGACTTATTGAGGTTCGAACTCATATACAGAAGTTGAAGTTGTTTAAAGAGTTGAGTCAGTATTTGGTTTTTGATATTGTCGATTCAATAACTTGCCAGCCTATTATTGGTGTATTTCAGAGCAATAAACATAACTAGATACTAAAAATAATGAGGAAAACAAGACAATACAGTATTATATTTTATTGAGAGTTAGCTCGACGATAATATTCCTCTATAATATGAAGCTATTGATACTGAGTTATAGTGTTACATTTCAATATACAATGAAGTTTTGTCCCAGCCACGCTAAGCATAGAAATCAGAAAATGTCTGTTGATAAAATCGAGTGAAATGTTCTTCACTTAACAACTTGAGGAACAAAATCTATACACAAAAAAGTTGGTTTCAGTATAGGGAAGTTGATTAAATATACAAAAACAAAAGAAAACAATAAAATATTTACAAGTATAAAAGTATATAAATTAATAAAATACATTTTGATAAGATAAAGAATTCATTCACAATAATATTATGTTTCTTGAGATGTCTCTTGATAAATTAATGATTTGATGTCAGATGTACATATGTGTTATCACCTTTTAGTTTTCATTATTAAGTTTAAACACGAATTGGTGCAGTCTGTACAAAATTATAAAGCAGTTGGACACAAAAAATACATTTAAATATATTCATCAACTAACTGAATGATTTAATGTAGTCTCTGATGATTGACGTCTCAATTGCGGATGTTTTACAAAATAGTGGACAACAGCAGTTGTTGGTTTTATTAGCTCCACTTTATTAGGCGTTTTTATCACATCAGTAACTAATTGATTTGATTTAATTGATGTATTTAATTTTTCTGTTCTATTTCTTAACGAAAGATTCCTTTTGTGAGCTAACAAAGATGGTGAACTGTTAGTATTTCGCGATAGGGAAGTAGTGGCAGTAACGGGAAAAGTGGTTTTGTGCTCCACATGAATATTACAATCACTGTCGTGTTCCTCACTGTCGTAATTGTCATCGTCATCATATTCTTCCTCATCAGAACTGACATCTCGGTCATGGTTACTGACAACTGAACATGATGGTAAAGATTCTAGTGGGAATAAACTATTTGATTTATCAAGTGCCCCAATATTTTGACATCCGGATACCTCAGTTACATTTACTTTGGGTATTGAACTAGGACTCCCCTCACAATGCACATCACTTACTTTCTGCAAGTCTCTAGATTTTGTAGACGATGGAGACAATAAGTAGGGATGAGATAAAGATGTCGCCCAATGGACAAGTGCACGCTTCGTTGGTGAAATGGCTTTCTGATCATCTGTTGGTAAATCTAATGTTTTCGGAAGTGACTGATTAGAATTATTCATATGCAAATGATTGTTTTTTCTTTCGATACAATAGGGACATGTAAAATACAAAGTAATCTGGAAAAACAAGCAAGAAAAAAATTGTCTTCATTCGTTCATTTAAATTATTAGGTCACATAGTAAATATATTGTAATCGCATACAGATCCCTGTTCTTTATTTAATACCGCACGTTTGATTATCGTAATAAATTCTTAGCACGGAAAAGCAGAAATTTCCATAAAACTCGTGAAAATGATACTACGGTGGCTAACCGCCATTTATCCTCGACAAGCGTTCTCGATTAATTTTATCAATATAAAAATTGCTTTTTGTTCGCTTAATATACCTGATGTATGGATTCCATACCAACGCATTTTTTTAAAGGACAGATCAAGAGGATAATACACCAACAATTGTTATGATTCGACTTGATTTATGCAGTAATTAGTTAGTGATACGTTGTAAGCTTCTGATAAAATCACCTGAGTTGATGTGAATAATATATTTAACTAAAACAAATCTTGATTGAGATCATGAACTGATTGATGTTAGACCACCATTGAAAACCTGAAAGCATTGGATGGCCATTTCGCCTAAAGTAAGAAATTTTGTTAAAACAACGAATGTTGGGTAATAAATATCTCGAATGTTTTAACGGACAGATATATTGTTTCTGAAGTTAGAATTAAGAGATGCAAGTAACTATTTTAACTAAAGGCTACAATACTAAATATTAGACAAATTCCTATCTGTTCTGTTAGAAGCAACAGTTTCTAGAAACTTTAACTTAATTCACTCTTATTTCAAAAAGATGACTGTCAATGTGAATATCCTATGAAAAAAATTAATTTCAGTGGTAATCATAACTAGAGCTATCGAGTGAAGATAAAAACACCTAGTTAGTATTAAGTTAGCCACTAATTATTGATGATTAATCAATTTTAATGTGGATGATAACAAGTCAAACAGTTAAATCAACAGATAAAGTAATCTTGTGAGTTGAACAGTCTACAAAACAGTAAACAGAAGGGTAATAATATCAGCCAACCTCCTACAATCACTTACAACCACAGATTAAAATACTGCTTAATCTGGTTAAATAACTTTTGTGGACTAGTCTATTCACAACATTGGATCTATCGATCTATACAAATCAGTCAACATGATATTTCTCACTATGTAGTGACCGATTTATACTTTTTATTCAGTGTTCTATTCTTATTTCTAGTCTATTAACTCAAAAATAACCTGGAACTGCAAAATTGATCATAAGTTTAGATAATGAATTCTCTTTATATTTTAAACATCGTTTGCTAGAAACAGAAAACGAGTCTAAAACTTAGATTCATAACTGAGAGAATAGAAGGTAGAGCGGTAACTTGGTGGCTTAGGTATTCGATTTTCACATTATGGATTAACCTTAGTGTTGTTAAACTACAAATTCGACGATCTACACAAGTTCTCTGGATCACTAGAAACAACGTTATCCCTATACTATTTATCGTTAAGAATAATAAAATGATTTTCTTGAAGGAAACTTATCAAGTGCAGATTTGTATGTTCGGCATTGATTCACACTATAAGCTAGAGGAACAATGATACTAACCAGGCAGAAATAAGTAAAAATATAGAACGTAATGTATGGAATAGAAACTCTAGGATCTATTAAAAACGTACCCTGTTGGTTAAGAATGAACCAGAGCTTGAAGTATTGAGAACACTATGAACCCATGTGAATGTATTTGATTTTACTTACTAAAAAATTGCACAATTATTGCCAAAGCATCCATCACTTCGTACAAACACTACACAAGGTCTGTAAACAGAATTACATGATACGGGGTTTGAACCTGCGACTCAGTTGGCTGGAAGTTGAACACTTTTACCGCAAAATCAACGTCACACTTATTCCCATTAATCAAGTCAACAAAGTATAAAATCAAAAGACTTACATTACATTCTGCTGTCAAGAATTTCGACTTCCCTTTATAAGCTTTATCTAATTCAGAAAGCGGTAATTTTAGAAATGAATGGCCAAGTAACGGTCCACGAGATGATGATGCTATTGTTGATGGTGGAAATGCACATGTACAGTGGTCATTGTTAAAACCTTCCTAAAATAAAGGCAGAGAAAAGTTCTACTTTAAATTCGAAACAAATTGTATAATGGTTTCCTCGTCTAAAATCCAGTACTAGTCTATCAGACGCTTGTAAAATCAGCAATTAATTTCATAAGTTTGATAAAAACATGAAGTCATACAACCTGATAAGCTTCCAGTGTTATACACTTTGCAGAATGTTTAGATTTGTTTAACTATTAATCTAGAGGTTCTCACCAAATAAGCTATATCTCTCCATACAACTGAAGTCAAAAAGTTATTTGACAGTGTTTTCTAAACTAAATCTACTTCAGCCAGTAGTAATTAATATACTGGGTATAACTCAAGAATGGTAAAACGTATTATAATATTTTATGGGTTAAAATAAAGCTTACAATAAGAGGAATATGAATATGCATAGTCTAGTTACTTAATAATTATACAATAGAAATATACGTTTAGTATTGGTCCATAAACGGATCCCAAAAGTTACCATTCATTATTCTTGTCGGGACATAGCAGTATACTAATATGGGATTTTGAAGGTAAAGTATGTTGGGATGAGCACGAACCTACTGGAGATAGATTTATGTTCCGATGCTGTTTGCTGGTCTACAAAATCTATTTGAACTAGTTCATTTTTTATTCGTTCTAATTAACTTAGAAATTATATTCATGATTACTGATTGGATGATTAGACCACAAGTTACAGTATCTGAAGGGTTGTAGCAGTTTCTAAAAGAGCAGTTATAAAATGGTATCAACGTTATAGGGGAATCAACTCAGAAAGACCACTACGAAGCTATGTGGAGTCATATTACGTATTTCTTAAGACCGTTCAAAGATCTCGAAGATAGGCTACTATAAATCCATCCTTCAAACAAGCTTATCAATAACATAAAATTGATATATCTTAAGTAAAGTCTCTCTTTTTGAATGTAGCATTGATGGAAAGTTAAAGTCAGTTGGTGATGATCCATGATACGAGGATATATATATATACCATTGTTACGAAGAGTCTTTTTAAATAATATTAAAATGGATAATTAATGGAAAATGAAATGTTGATAATTACTAGATGCATGAAATCCAAATGATACAAAAAACCTACCTTAGAACTGGATACACAATTAGATGACCCTTCTTCATGTAGTACGAAGTATGTGTTGAACCATAGTTGACATATTTTCTACGAATTATGAATAATAGTAATAAATAATGTACAATTACGAAGCATCAATTGGTACATATGCATAGCACAGTGTTAAAACATACTAAGTAGACATCAAAATATTTATACCTAAAACATTGAATGCGATATATATAACGTTATAGAGTACAGACTATGACAATGTTATTCTACGCAGAAGAAAGACATAATCAATTAAATCACTCAACTCAGATTAAAACATTGCTGAGATATTAGACGACTGCGTGAATCATAGCTGTAATTCTTGCAGACTAGTGCTTTTATTCAATTTGTATAGAGGGTTTATAGATATTGTTACATTATGTAGTTTGCGTCACGGACTGACTTCAGTTAGACAACCAGGAAACAATAGACCGCTGTTTTGTCCTAGTATGGGACTTTCCAGTAGTGCAGATTTACGACCAGGCCAGGGGTCATACGCTAGACCTTCAGGTCCTGCAGAGAGGGGTTCAACTTTAGACCATTGAATTCGTAATCAATCGTTTATATTTCTAAACTCAATCAACTTTAATCTACTGAAATAAAATTTAATTACAGTGTATTTTTATTACACTATCGGTACTCCCTTTATTTAGTATGCTTCGGTTAGTAGTACCACATAAGAAATACGTGTGATCATCATTATAAGAATAACTTTGTGTCTAAAACACTGATAATCCAACGGATAAACATATTTTCTGTTATATTCCAATGAGTAGAAAAATTGTATTTCTGACGTTTCGTGACTCCATGTAAGCCACTTCTTCAAAGTGAATAAGTGTCCAAAATAAATAAACACAAATTTAAATAGTACAATTGTACGAAACATCAGAAACACAAATTTTCTACACATTGGGATATAAGAAAAAATATTTTTTTATTAACTTTCTACCCAATGCTCAATTTATTTGAAATTATCAAGTCCGACCTTGGCATTGATACCGATAAGTCAAATAGCTGTAAATAATAATCGTCATTACTTTTAGTAATGATAAGATATGGAATAAGGCTACATTATTAAATAATTGTATTTAGGATTTTATATATCATTTGCTAACTTCGTCTTCCGATTGGATGCCCAGTTAGAGGAAGGCTACAGAGAATATACGAGAGTTAATAGTTAATAGTCGGACTATATAATACAACTGCTCCTATAATAAACGACCCAATTATGCGCGCCTCAATACAGTTCAAGAATCTGTTCGATTGAAAATAGAACACCATCATCCCTAAATTTTCATTTTTCCATAGCGTTTGCTTCTTATAAACTATGTTTTACGTTTAGATCCCCATTACTCTCATTATTATTTTCCATCTTGTCGTAATTATCTTTCTGTTTCCTCTCCTCGTGCTAATGTAACGTATAACAGATTCGACAGGTAAGTGTTCGCTTTAAGTACTACTAAACTGACGATGACTGTCCAGAAGTATGCCCATCAAAAATTTAAATAAAAATGAAAAAAAAAGTAATGAAACTTGTTGAAATAAGGCACGTAGAAACGCTAATAAAAGTGGTTATACATTTGTATATTTGATAATGACCTACACAAAATGATCACATGATTTAATATATGGAAATATTTAAGAAGAATGTAAACACATAAAAATTAGAATGATACTCATTGAAGAAACGTCAATAAAAATCAGTAAATTGTGTTCATGAATAAATGTGTATCTATGTAACATTGATAAGGTATGTAAAATATCAACACCAGTAAATTGAAATTAAGAACTAATGGATTAGTTACAAAATAGGATTCGATAAGAGCAAAAATAAAACAGTATAATTATTTTCATATTTATCTTTTTTGTAAAAATCTATTTACAATCTAGTTGATAGTGGTCACCGTATCGATATTGGTTGATGTAGCGGTAAGTTAGGAAAACATTAAGGAACATGGTATGAGTTTATGCAATCGTTGCTGCTGGACTGAACCTTGTAGGTAGATGTATATCACCTGGTTCGGTTTGCACGATTATCGTATCTAATGTTTAGAGACATTGGATGACATGACTCAAAAGCGATAGGAATGGTGCAGATGAATTAAATCTTTCTCTTTACTTACACTTTCCGTTCTAAATTTATATTATTATTTTATTTCATGAAGTCAATTTTTCTTCTTGAATTTGATAAGTCTGCTAATTGAACGCTCGAATCAGTTTCCTAAATGCTTTTTATTACCCCAGGCTAAATCTACACAGGAAATTGGACATAAGAAAAGGTGCGAAATGTGAGACGAACACTTTACTCCAAGGTTAGTTTATGTACATAAAATCGAAGGTATTTGTGGTGGCCTTGAGTTCCTAGAAGTTTCTGGAACTACACTAAGTATAGTAGCGGTGTGGTGTGTGCTACAGATATAAGTAGTATCATCGATTGGAAGTGAAATACCTGGAAGTAGAAGGTTAAGGAGACCAAAGAAAAGAGAATGAGAATGATTGCTGTGGAAATGAAGGGACAGTGAAGTTTGATATGATTGACATTTTGCAAATGTAGAATTTATTGTATGGTTCTCAGATTTTACTAAGATGTTCTGTAATTTTGTGCTCAAATCAGTAAAGTCTGAGACAATTGATCGATATTTTGCAGAAGAAACAGTCAAGTTTGATACTATTGATTGGCATTTTGCAAATGTAAAATTTACTGTATGGTTGTCAGATTTTACTAAGATATTCTGTAATTTTTGTGTCCAAATACATTCGGTTGTCCCCACTCACTACAGCAGGATAGGTAATTATCCAATTAGAAATCCGACAAAAGACTCTTCACTTTCTAGATGTTTTTAAGAAACCTCTATTCAACAACGATTGGACAAAATGTCTCATGGCGTCCGTGTACTTTTTCGAGGAATACTTTGAATCTTCCCAACAGAATTATAATACCTAAAACTAATATTTTCTGATACTGTTACTACTTCTACTGTCCCGAGATTACGTTTCGTTGTGTTTATAGTGTGGTAGCTCGAGCCAATGCACGTGTATACTAGATTCTACGTTGTGTATGACTGACTGGCTACTGGACACCATGTCGAAGGATATCTGAATATCGAAATTTATTTATAAGATTTCATTGAAATTATCTCTTACAAACATCAAAAGCAATAGGAATACATATAATTAAACCTAATGCTTGTGTAAAGAGAAAGCTTACCAAGCCTACTAATTTATAGTGGTATTATAAATTTACTTATATAAACGCTCCTTAGATTTCAAATTTATCTAACTTTTATTCCGATTCTTACGTAACTAGTACCAATAATCAACCGATTAACTAATTTTGTTTTATCAGTGTGGGGTTGTAGATGTTATTGCGTTTTTGATTGAGATCATGAATCCACGAATGTTAAACCACAATTGAAAACCTGGAAGAACTGGACGGCCGTTTCGTCCTAGTATGAAACTCCTCAGTATTGCGCATCCACGATCCCGCATGCAGGAGTCGAAGCCAGGACTTTTGTTCTCTTACGCGAGCGCTCAACCTCTAGATCACTGACCTGGCTGGCATTTATTCGTATGAATATCTAGCTACAACCAATCCACGAAATTGAGCGATCATTTTCCATTGTCTGAGGTAGATACCTGTCTCTACCTGACACGATTAGCCCCACTGGTCACGGATTCTCACTAGAACTCTGAGAATTACCTCACGAACTTTTTGGTTGACATCATGAATCGATGAATGTTGGACCACCATCGAAAACCTGACTAGTGGAGCTAATCCGTGTCAGGTAGAGACAGGTATCTCACAAAGTAAACGAAGCTTCAAAGTCAAAGTTTACTAGAACTCATCGATTTATGCTTAACAACATTTTCAACTGAACAACAAAATCTACAAACAAACGAAAGGAACACTGATGGGATCACCAATATCAAGACTTATCGCAGAAGCAATGATACATAGACTGGAAACCTCGATCTTACCAGTGATCAAGCCGAAAATGAGGATTCGTTATGTGGACAACACATTCATCACCGTCAAAAAGGATGAGCTGGAAGACACCCACAATCTGATCAACAACGTCTTCGATGAAAACAAGTTCACAATGGAACAGGAATCGAACAATAAACTACCATTCTTGGATGTATTAATCACCAGAAGCGACACAAGAAAACTGGAAACTCAAGTATATCGAAAGCCCACCCACACAGATCATATTCCTAATTACAGTACCAACAACCCAAGAGCTCACGAAATCAACTGCGTCCAAGAGGACGAGGACACACTGCAACACACAGCACAAAAAAGTGAAGGAAAATACCTGAAGACCATCTTTCAAAAGAACGACTACCCAACCAACTTAATTAAAAAATATCAGCCAAACGCAGCATCAGAAACCAAGTCAAGTACAGAAACTAACAAATGGATCACCTTACCATATATAAAAGGCATATCAGAAACTACAACGAGATTGTCGAAGCCTTTCGTAATTGGCGTAGTACACAAAACAACAAAATCAATACAATCAATCCTACGCAAACCAAAGGACGAAATGACAAAAGAAGAAAAACCGAACATCATCTACAAAATAAATTGTGCCAACTGCGAAAAACACTATATAGGACAAAGCTGATACCCTCTTCATCTTCGCCTACATGGACATCAATTAGCAGTCAAACATCGTGATATATCCTCACTTATATCAATGCATGTGGACAACTGTGGACACACACTCGATTGGAAAAATGTGGAGATCTTGGATAGAGGCAATTTCAAAAACACTAGAGAATTTTAGAAGCTTGGCACTCAGGTCAATCGGCAATCAACAAGCACATTGAAATCGATCGAATTTATCAACCAATCAGAAAAATTATGGACAAACATAGGACCAAAAATCAAACCAATCGGAGATACAACCAAAATAAAGAAGTAAACAATGACAGATTTAAGGTCAACAATAACCCATCAACATCGAGGACTACAGGACAAGCTGTGAGCCATATGTGGAGAAGTTCAAACACTTCAGTTCTACCTGGAGTTTGTGATGATGATGTCGTCCAGAAGAACGATGAAAGCTCCACGACTAAACCATCCAGCCCAGAGAACAAAACTCCATCAAAATCATCCACCTGAGCTACAAATCTTCTCTACCATTTTGATATCAGTTAAATTAGAAGCCTACGTCAATGATCTGGTCTCGTGAGTAACCGTCACACGACTACATTGTACCACCAAAATGGTACCAATCGATCAGCACATCTCATTTATTAATTTAATATTCCACAAAAACTTCTTGTTAACAAAATTATTAAAATTTCAATTTATAATAGACTTTTTATTAGAGTTCCGATAAATCTATTTTAAAAACTAGTTGTTGCTAGTACATACATGATACATAGACATTTTTTCCTGCAAAGAATGAATTAACAAATATACCGCTCTAATTTTGGAATGCGCTTATCTCCCTCTAAATGCAAGTTGTTGCTTCAGAACTGGTCTGCGTCAACACCTGAACTGAGGATAGGGAGTGAAGTAGTCGAACGCGTTGACAACTTCACTTGTCTTGGAAGTCTGATCAGCCCCAATGGGTTGGTGTCTGACGGAATCTCAGCACGGATTCGAAAAGCTCGTTTGGCTTTTGCCAACTTACGTCACCTATGGAGAAGGAGAGATATCCGTCTATCAATTAAGGGACGAGTATACTGTGCAGCAATTCGTTCTGTCCTACTTTACGGCTGCGAAACATGGCCATTAAGAGTAGAACACACTCGTAAGCTACTAGTATTTGATCACAGATGCCTTAGAAATATTGCTGGCGTCTGCTGGGATCACTGGGTAAGTAATAGTGAGGTTAGACGTGCAGGGTATCAGGGAATGATGGTAAATCAGTTGATGAGGTTGTGAATCTTCATCGACTGAGATGGTTGGGCCACGTGTTACGTATGCCTGAACACCGATTACCACGACGTGCAATGCTAACCGGTGTTGGAGATGATTGGAAGAAAGTTAAGATGGCGGCCAAACCAAAACGTCGCATCAGTCTCTGAAGTCACTAACTTGTAGTCTGGGCCATATTGGTAGATGCAGACTACTTGGTTAGGGTCTGTGTGACTGTCGTAACCAATGGTTGGAGACTGTGGGTGACATGGCTCAGAATCGATCACAATGGCGTAGGTGTATACACTCTTTGTCTTCCCTTAAACCGTGAGACTGAAATTACTTTATGCCTTTCTTTCTACGAACTAATTCTCTCTCCCTCTCTGTACTATATCCTTATACACAATCTTTCTTTTATATATTACTACCATTGAAGCAACTACTTCTATGAATTCGGTGTTTATCTTGTTGTGTTAATGAGATATGGCAACTTGGACCGATGCATATATGTGCCTGATCCCACGTTATAGATGACTGATTGACTGAATTTTAAGAAGTAATTATTAAAAGAAAAAAAATTACTGCTTCGAAAATTACTCTTCATTGAATTCTGTAACATTCAATACGTATTTTCTTTTCATTTTTAAGCAACCTTTATGGATTTATTTTCTGTAATAAGATACAATTTCAAATTAATACAAAACTTTGAATAATTCACCACCCACTACTTAGAAACATTATCAATTTCAAATAGTCATATACACTGTTACATGTGGTTTACATCAAATAAAACATTTAGTTTAACATAAAAGATAAAATGAATAAAAATTTTCATCATTTTCTGATAGGAAATAGATTTGTTCTTATTCTATTGATTTATTTTGTGGTTTAAAATGAATTTTTTTTACAACATAAAATAGATATCATACAGATGTGTTTTATTACATAACAAGATATTCAAATATGGAAAGTAAAAAACAACGTGTCAATTTATCCATAATATTATGATTGATCTTGTTTCATATAATTCACTAATAGACATTACGAGTAACTCAGTTAATAAGGATTGGTAAATTCCCTAAACTTTCTACTAGAATGAAACGAAAAATTTTCGAACTCGCTCATGTGTCAACTAAGACTGATCAAATTTCAGTTAAAAATATAAACAAAACGATAATCCAAACCATTTTAAATTGAATAATGAGGCTAGTTGATTGTGATTGGTTGGTAAAATGATGTTTTGTTTTGTCCAGTTAGTTTTTATTCCAATGACCTTGAATAAAACTAGTACAAAATGAGTATTCTTTTGAATCGTATAACCCATTACTTCATAGTGTCAATGAAGTGTCTGGGTAGATCCTGATTACTTGCTATATATGCATAGATTGTGATCATCTGACTTCATATCGGGTTATAAATTGTATGCCAAATTATAAAAATTCCTTGCAGAAAAAAAATAAATTCTACCAATAAACTTTTTCCATGTGACTTTTACGAATGGAAAAATAAATGTCAAGGTAACTTACTTTATTTAACATATGGTGTCTAGCATAGAATTTAACTCGAACATCTCCAAATAACAGAATATCTTGTTTCGGTTTTATAAGAACTTCATTTTGATGTATCGGTTCTGAAGATAATGTTGCACAATTTTGTTCAAACACATGAGATGAATCAAATGTATACAATTGTAGATCTAACAATAGGCCTGAGAAGTAGAATAAAAAACGACAAAGTAAACAAAAGGACAAAAGAAAACAGTACGAGTGATTAAAATGTATCATTCTTGAGAGATGTTCAATATAAATCAATCAAAGCGAAGGTAAATAATGTCCACTTGTTCCGCTTAAAATACAGTTTTTGACAATCGACATAATTAATATGAACTATTTTTACAAAAGATAACTTTATGAAGTAACAGAAAGTATCATGTATTTGTTAAAGTATGCATGATATTGAGTTATAATAGCTAATATGTTTAACTGAAAACAAAATATGATGCCATTTCGTTTCAAACACTTTTGAAGTCAAAAAGTCAACTATTAACAAACCTTTAATATCAAGTCTTTTTTCAAGTACATAGTGATAACGTCTCGCCAAATCACTGAAGAATTAATAACAAGTGTAGAGCTAATAGACTGATTATGGCCAACATGTGTTAGTGAACGATGAGCATTTTGTTAAAAATAACTATGGAGCTGATATAACGTCAAAAAAGCTGGGAGGCATAACTACAGTAACCAGTGCTGCATAAAAAGATTTTTCCATGAACAAGTTTACCTACGACATATACATTATATCTATGATATATACAGATCGGATGCCAACTCATTTCACTGGGAAACAACGATGAATACATGGTAAAAGAGATAAGTATTGTAAGTACTCCACCTGGAGCCCTTTCGGGGTTTTCGCAAGTTTAAAACCGGGAAAGAGGACAGTTGGCAACCACATCCTGTAGAAAAAAACCTTGCTAAAAAACGCCAGCCAGAATAAACAAATTAAACCATTTAAACTCTGCCATTCGAGTTAAAGGATCTTCAATTAGAAGAACTATAACGACTCATAATGAAAGCCGATGTTCTTCCGAAGTCACGAGGCCGATGCCTCTTCGAACAACCAGAGCAACAATTAATATAGTTACATGGAATGTTCGAAAAATGTGGGAGACTGGGAGGACCAATCACATAGCTACGGAAATGAGGAGGTACAACCTGGTGGTGCTCGGAATCACTGAAACATATTGAACCCAAGCTGGACAGAAAAAACTAGATTCGAGAGAGATGCTGCTGTTATCTGGTTATTAAGAAGGAAATCCTTACCACACACAAGGAGTTGCACTAATGATGTTCAAAGAGGCACGAAAAGCATTTATAGGATAGGAATCTCATAGATCCAGAATCACCAAAGCATTCCTCAAAATGTAGAGATCACAATGAATGTTATCCAGTTCTCTGCGTCTACCAACGACAGCAACGAAAACGATAAAGATCGGTTCAATGAGAGGCTGCAGTTGACAGTAGAGAAGTGCTCAGGAAAGGACCTGACAATCTCTTTGGAAGACCCGAACGCCAAAGTCGGAATGAACAAAACCGAGTATGAAGATACCAAGGGATGATATCGATTGGGAGAAAAGAACGAGAATGGTGAGAGATTTGCAAATGTATGTGCCCTAAACAAAATAGCAACAGGCGGTACTTTATTCTCCTAAACGCATACATAAGCTACATGAGTCTCACCGGATCACGTATGGCAGGAGTTGCTTTACTCCAAGAGGCACCAGGATAAATAGTGGATCTCTACACGTGCCCTGGGTAAGATTGGAGAAAGAACAAAAAGGCAGAAGTGAATGACAGCTGGACTAGATCAGAGAAAGACAAGGCAAAAGCCGAATGGACAGAAGCAAACAAGCAAGTGAAGAAGAGCATTATAGCTTACAAGCAGAAATACGTGGAAGACCGAGCAAAGACAGCGGGACACGCCACAACAGAAGGGATTATGAGATGACTATATAACTCAACGAAAAAACTAGCAGGGAAATATGGTTAACCAGAGAGACCAGTCAAGGACAAAGAACGCAAGCCAATCACAGATTCAAGAACAGAGGCACAGATGGACAGAACACTTTGAGGAACTCTTGAATAGACCAGCTCCATCGAATTCACCAGACATTGAAACAACACACATAGACCTTCCTATGACTGTTAATTCATCAATGATCGAAGAAATCAGGATGGACTTCAGATAAATCGGGAGTGGGGAAGCAGTAGGACCTGAGAATATACCATGTGAAGCATTGAAGTCGCACGTAGCAGCAACTGCAGATATGCTCCACGTTCTATTCATGAAGATTTGAAAGGAAGAACAAGTGTCGATAGACTGGAAAAAGGATGCCTCATCAAAATACCAAAGAAAGGATATCTGAGCAAATATGAAAACCACAGAGGCATCACAGCATTATCAGTACCAGGAAACATTTTCCACCGAATGTTGCTGAACTGGACGAACGATTCAGTAGACGCACAGCTTCCAGATCAACAGACCGGATTCCGTACGGTTCGATGGTGCGCAGACTAAGTCATGGCACTACGAATCATCGTTGAACAATGAATTCAATGGGACTCGTCACTATACCACATTTACTCTCCACATTTTGCTTTGTTCTAATGGTTGACTGGATTATGAAGACCTCAACATCCAAAAAAGCACGGAATACAGTGGGGAGCTTTAAAGTAACTAGACGATTTGGACTTTGCAGATTACATAGCCCTTCTATCCCATACACACCAATAAATGCAGATCAAGACAACCAGTGTAACAGAAGCCTTTGTATCGGTAGGCCTCAACATACACAAAGGAAAAACCAAGATCCTCAACTGTAACACGGAGGACACCAACCCAGTAATACTTGATGGAGAAACTATGGAAGAGGTGGAAACATTCACCCACCAAACTGGGCAGTACCATGGATCCGATGCAGACGCAAAGACAAGGATTGGCAAAGCAAGGACAACATTTCTACAATTGAAGAATATATGGAACTCAAAATAACTGTCAACCAATATCATAGTCAGAAATCATCGAACTGCATTACGAAGCAAGACCGAACTTGGAATCCTGAAGGGAAGCGGAAAAGAGGAAGGCCAAAGAACATACTGTGTCGAGAATTGGAGGCAGACATGCAAAGAATGAATAGCAACTGGGAAGGATTATCTAGGACAGAGTTTGATGGAGAATGCTGGTGGGCGGTCTATGCTCTACCACGAGAGGTAACAGGTAGTAAGCTTGGCAATTAATTTATAAGGCTAGCTCATATTATTCCGTACATCACCTTACCCCATGCAATACTGGATAAGAGAGTAACAATTAAATAAGTTTCTGACATTCTATTATTTTCCGTTGTACCAACTAATTCTCTCTCTCTCTTTATATATATATATATATTACTATCTGAATGCAACATGAATACTACAGTTCGTGTTTCAAATAAAAACGAGACTGTGTGAGTTCAATTATCAACTCGAATTAAGTACTACAAAGCACCTTCCAAAGTTTGGTGAAATAACTGGTTTTAAGAAATTAGTGATAAACAAAAATACTTAATGGTTCAATGTTTCAGGTAAACTTAATACCCCGCTGCACTATCTCCTAAAAGATTTACTCAGTAAAGAAATTTAGCATATCCAATACAAATGACTATCTTGTTCAGAAATCAGCTGGTTTTAAACTATGTTAACCTGGATAGTAGATTATGGATACATTTATTAAACTGTGACTACGTTCGAGACGAATATTTACTGGGAACTGTGGTCTGTGGAATCATTTAAGTGGGACAGAAGATAACTCTAAGATAGCTAGTGTTCATCAAAGATTTATATGTGTATTGCTTTAGGATTGTGGAGTGCACGTAGACAAGTTTCGAACTAAAACATTTTCTTCTTGGTAAGCATCCCATGTCTGCTAAGATGGTTTTAAAGCGGTGGATCCGCTTTCACTCTACTTTTGTGAGGGAAAGCCCCTGAGACGAGGTGGTGGGCAGAACTTCCGTCGATGAGTCTATGAATGTGCGGCTGTGGAAGCGTTTCTCAAAAAAGAGAGTGAATTCCCCTGCCTTCAACGGAATTTGAACTAGCTTTTAAACAATAATATCCCCATATACAGCGACCAATTAAACATTTCAATGTAATAATACTACAGCGTCAAGTCATAATGGACGTTAAAAACGACCTTGTGGTTTTGAAAAGCATGTCTGACTACTGAGGAATTTGTAAAAATCAGGATGTAACGAAACCCGTTAATTCATAGTGGTTTTAAAAAGGGTAATAACTATTCGACGTTTATTAGTTTCCTGATCTTATTATCGGAGAAAACTCGATACAGAATACGAATAGATCTCCTTTTTGGAGCCTTTTCATGATCAGTATAACTTTCTAGAAAATTGTTGATCGCCTACGAAATCTTTATTTTTAAATTCGCTAGAGTTGTCGGGATAAATTTATGATACAACTATATGGAGAATTTATGCATACGAAACATATTTATTTAACATCTCTACGTTACCAGGTCTCCCAGTTTACTTCAGAGCTGACAAGGTATAAAAGATATTGGGAATAAGAACCCACTGATTTACCTATTACATGAAACCTCCGTCGCCGATGCCATGCACTCGATGTGTTTTCCCTTTCACACTATCATTACATATTTATGCTGATAAAATCTTTCCTTACCAACCATGAGTTTTATAAACAAGTATATCAAGATATTTCGTACAAAGCTTTTTATATGAAGATAAAAATCATTTACTTTTAAATTTCCTGCTGAAACCCAAACATTACTTTCTGAAATGGCATTAGTTCAGCTCTAGGGCATAGTTACACTTGTAATTCAGAACGAAGAAAATTTTAGTTTTTTCAGTGTGAAAATGATTAAGCTATAAATTCATATGAATAAATTCTACATCAACAAGCTATTTATGCTGGAGGGCAGAAGGGATATAATTATATACAGTATATTATGTTGGTGTTTACAAAACAGAGCAGTTAAAAATATTTTATAAATTGTAAAAATTATTATACAAGAATAGAAGAGCAAGTTACATAGGAAAAAAACCTTCGACATTATTGATGGTTAAATGGTTTAGTAATTATAGTAAACACATAAGGAAAACTACACTGCAACTTAGACTGTCTCGTACTCTCAGTTTCCTAATCTAAGAACAAAATGTGGCACAATGGACTGGTGGTTTGATCACCTACATTTTAATCATAAAGGCCTCTGGTTCGAAACGCCCCCCTGTACCTACTTCAGTTTGAGCACCCGGGTAGTATTATCAATAACCATGTAAATGGGTTGTGGTTTAAAGCCGAGTGTACAAGTATGTACGTGATTATCGAGTTATAATCAAAACTCATAAGTAATCGTCGATGTTATGTATTATGTACACATACAACACGTCAGAAATCAGGATGGAAGGCTACACAGTTTACTGTTTGTTTTCGATCAGTAGCCACTAGAACTTCAATATTTATTACATAAGAGAGGTAAGCATACGGGTATGATGCACTGTATATATGGAGAAAAGTTACGAGTTTAAGTAATGGCAAAAAATGAAGTGACTGAAATAATTAATCTATGGAGAGAAAAAAAATACACTACCTGGTAAATACTGTAATCCACAAACACGTACAGCTGTTAAGAAAATAGGGATTCTATGATACTCTAGATTATTTTTTAGGAATAAATCATAATAATGTACATAACGCCGTTGACTAGGTATTGTTACACCTTTACCATTGTCAGTTCGTTGTTCACCATAGAATTTCAGTGCTTCCTCTGCATTCATAACATCATGTAGTCGAAGAAGGCATGCACAGACCATAACACCAGTTCTCCCCTATCAAGATATTGTGATAAAAATTTAATATAAAAAACACACTATTCAATTATAGATAAATGGCATTATTAATAGCAATATGTAATAGCTTACAACATTTTGTGGAGGTTTTATTCTTTTTGTTTGGTCCAAGCTTTTCCTTGAAAAAGCTTGGACCAGATTGCCAGGCGAAACGTTGGAACTACTTCAAATTCTTTCGCTGAGATTTTACAAATACATTTTTCCTTTTTAATGTCTCACATTAACTCGGCGCCCAAATATTGTGAAACTATTCGTTCAAATTTAGACGAAAGTTCTTATTTAAGTAATAAGTTCTGTTTGTAAGATTCTAAAAAGACTATATACACCATAAACCTGATAGACCAAAATATTTACAAATTTAAAAATAGTTATAAAGTACACCTCGTGTGCAGGAGTAAACAGCTAGCAATTTAACTGTCAATCATAAACTGGAACAACAAACCACCTAATTTCCAGTTTATATATTCAACAAATGAAATAAAACAAACTGCAACCAATGTGTAGATTAAAAATATGACCATAATTATTCAATAATAGACAAAAGGTTATGCTTAATAAATAAAATTTAATTAATCTAACCGACTTACAGAGTACGGATTTATGTATACACTGAGCCATACTTTGTGTGTGAGGGCTATTGATACTATTTAATTGTCTAAATCAAAGTATACAAAGCTCAATAAAAACTACATATTTTGATCAATGTTGAGACTGTTCCACTAGACGTTGAGTCCAGTGCTTCTAGTGGTTAGGCGTTCGCCGGATGATACAAAGGTCATGGGTTATATCCTTCGTGGTGAGATGGTGGATGAGCACTACTGGAGAGCTCAATACTAGGACGGAACAGTTGTTCAGTGGTCCTTAGTTTTCGGTGGTACCCCAAATACGATCGGTGTGTGGCGAATAATATTCACACATTACAGAGTTGCTTGATAAAAGTTATACTTTCCATTTTCTGAATAGTAAAGTGAGTTTGAACTTGTAACCCCTTGAAAATAACATTTGTATAAACACTTCCCAAAACTGATATGAATAAAATATATGATGAATTTGTTTGATAATATCACAGTTCAAACAAAATTTGATACATACCAAATATATAAATAAACCTAGGTGATTTACCTTTCCAGCTTTACAGTTAATTGCAACGACATTTTTAGGATCTTGACTAAGAAATTCATTTACATCTTCACACAAAGCAATGATTTGTTCAAACTGAGGAGCATTATGGTCAGAAAACGGGTATTTTGCGACTGGACCATCAAATCGACAAACGTTAAAATCTCTTTCATCACATCTATACAATTATGTAAGAAAAGAAATGTAAATAATAAATTAATTTCACTTCAGAAAATGTTACAAAATAGCCACATATGGACATTTCGAAAATTTAGTAGAATACTTTAATTTATGAACCTTAATGCTAGAATGTATGTCATTAACGGGATCAATAATTTTTAACACTAAAATATAGAGAAATTTGTTGGTGGGTCACCGTAATACTCAACGATAATGATCTTAGGGATAACTTTTAAAAGTGTAGCTGTTCATTTATATAAAATAAAACGAAAATTAAGTCCTACATATATAAACATACTGACTAACGTGACTAAAAAACGCAGAAAAATTGATATATATATGACTAAACAGGAATTCAGCCAGTTATTCATAAAAAAACATAGGATCTAGCATACCTCACAACAAAACACCAAGAAAAAACTACTAACATGAGGTAAAGAAAAGTACGAAACGCTAAAAACCAAGACTTAGATAAGAAAAGGAATGAACAGATCTGAATGACTGAAACCGATTGTGGACAATCTAGAAATAAGATAAAGAAACGCTATTGCTAAACAAATATCTCCTCAACTTTAGCCAGAAATTGTGATAGGCATTCAACGAGTAGTACCTCTGATGATACTGATCATGTAACGTGTTATAACATACTGCTAAGAAAAAATTCACAACCAACAGAGTACTTCCACATATGCGAAAATGTCGAGACTCAAAAACTGAAGATCAAGACGGTGTTGAAACTCACAAGCTCGTTTTTAAACAAATTTGTAGTTTAAAAGATTTAATGAATCTGATTCCACAAAGTAATATGGTTTATTTGATTTCACCTACTAATTAAGAAGTCAGATGAACAAATAAAATAGCCAGTTAGGATAAAAAGATTCACGGAGAAACGAAGTATGGATCCCGAAAAACTTTTTCAGTCCATAACACTTAATAAATCGGCACATTCATATACTCAAGTATGAGGAAGCTACCTATCAATATACACATAATCCTTGCACAAATTGTCAAACATTACAACTTTTACTTCACGTTTCCTTAGGTTAAACGTGCCTCGAAAATGTCCCAATTCTCAATAGATTCTGTAATAGGAAATACGGTAAGAATTGAAAATATTTCACCATGAAACATAAATGAAGAGCTAACCAATAAAAATAAGAAAACGAACGTTAAGACTACTAAGAAGCAAGAGCTAATGAGCAACTATTTTTCTTGATACTGATTTTTCAACAACCCATCTCCTTATTTCTCTTTCATATCCTCATTTCCAAACACCCAATTCTTATTGAGAAATCCTATGTTAAACTTTAAATCGTATGAACGTAGCGAATGTTAATCATTATGATCTAGAAAGTTGGTTAAACTTATAGTGGGATGAGAAAAACAGCATGATATTTTTTCATTCTCAATAATTCATCCGAAATAATGTAACTCGATAATAAGGACAATGTTCAAATTATTCAAGTTCCTGAAACTATCAACGTGAATATAAGAGGCTACATTAATATAGAGATTTTATCATGAGAAATATTTTTATCCTCTGTTTATATACACGGTAACAGGTTAAACTAATAACAAAGGGGATGAACACTTAAAATTAAATAGTCATTCAGTCATGCACGACCGAGATCCTAGATAATATGTGCATCTTTTCAATTTGACACACCACATTAACACAGAGATGAGGCGATAAGGACAAATACGAGAGTAGAGGCACTAGTATTATTAGCAGTGGAAGAGAAGACATAGACGATATGACTCGAGAAAGAATGAGTTCATGATATATATATATATATATATATATATATATATATATATATATATATATATATATATATATAAAGTAACTCCGGCTATCAGCCTTTTAAATTTACTGCAAACTTGTTAAGAGTTGTTTACTGAGTCATAGGTTAAATTACAACCCAATTGTTTTAGTATGAACAATCCAAAAGTTTTATACTGCAGATTTTACTCATAATTAATAACATATGCATGGTCATTAATAAACTGACTCGATATTTAAGAAAAGTACGTTTTAACAGAAATCAACTTACAGGTGATAGATTTTGTAGTGGTTCGCATGTCGTGTTTGTAGAAAGCGTACAACATCATCAATATGATTACGATAAACACCCTCAAGCTTAACAGCAGGGAATCCCATTGCAATAATTCTGCTGGAGATATAACTCAGATCTAAATCAAACCCATCTTGTTGAAAACGCTTCTTATGACGACTAACAAGACCTTTAAGCGTTTTTGGCATAGTTTATGTTACCGAGAAGAGATGGTAGATGTATCTCATTTAATTCCTGTGAAGAGAAATCCGAGAGCAGTTAACTTGTCGTCAACACTACAGTAGGCTCTTTAAAGGAAGAATATTTATTTAGGGACATTTTGTGTGGACATAACTGGAACCGTAAACTTTGTCTAAAATGTAAAAAGTAAATTTAACGTGAACTATGAAGCACATTATAAAAGACAAGTGACAATCTGCGCATTTGTACATCTTAATTGATACAAAAAGCTAGTTTTCCTAGTTCTCTGCGTTGAAATTGGAGTTTAATTAATGTGAAGTTTTGTAACAGTCGTCGGTAGATATTGAGAATATGAGATATTTGAACAAATACAGCAAGATTGAAAACATATGGCTTATGGACCTCAGTCAGTCAGTCAGCTACAACGTAGGACCAGGCACATATATGCATCGGTCGAAGTTGCCATACCTCATTAACACACAACAAGATGGACACCGGATTCATAAAAGTAATTAATTCAGAGGTGGTAATATATAAAAGAAAGATTGCAATAAGGATATAGTACAGAGAGGGAGAGAGAATTAGTTCGTAGAAAGAAAGGCATAAAGTAATTTCAGTCTCACGGTTTAAGGGAAGACAAAGAGTGTATACACCTACGCCATTGTGATCGATTCTGAGCCATGTCACCCACAGTCTCTAACCATTGGTTACGACAGTCACACAGACCCCAACCAAGTAGTCTGCATCTACCAACATGGCTCAGACTAGAAGTTAGTGACTTCAGAGACTGATGCGACGTTTTGGTTTGGCCGCCCTCTTAACTTTCTTCCAATCATCTCCAACACCGGTTAGCATTGCACGTCGTGGTAATCGGTGTTCAGGCATACGTAACACGTGGCCTAACCATCTCAGTCGATGAAGATTCACAACCTCATCAACTGATTTACCATCATTCCCTGATACCCTGCACGTCTAACCTCACTATTACTTACCCAGTGATCCCAGCAGACGCCAGCAATATTTCTAAGGCATCTGTGATCAAATACTAGTAGCTTACGAGTGTCTTCTACTCCTAATGGCCATGTTTCAATGCCGTAGATTAAAACAGAACGGACTGCCGCACAGTATACTCGTCCTTTTACTGATATACGGATATCTCGCCTTCTCCATAGGTGACGTAAGTTGGCAAAAGCCAAACGAGCTTTTCGAATCCATGCTGAGATCCCGTCAGACACCAACCCATTGGGGCTGATCAGACTTCCAAGACAAGTGAAGTTGTCGACGCGTTCGACAACTTCACTCCCTATCCTTAGTTCAGGTGTTGACGCAAACCAGTTCTGAAGCAACAACTTGCATTTAGAGGGAAGTCAGTCAGTCAGTCAGCTACAACGTAGGACCAGGCACATATGTGCATCGGTCCAGGTTGCCATACCTCATTAGCACAGCAAGATGAACACCGGATTCATAGGTGTGGTTAGGTCAAAGGTTGCAATAAGGATATAGTATAGGAAGAAAGAATTAGTTCGTAGAAAGAAAGATATGAAGTGATTTTAATCTCTTAGTTTAAGGGAAGACAGGGAGTGTATACACCGACGCCATTGTGATCGATTCTGAGCCATGTCACCAAGAGTCTCCAACCATTGGTTACGAAAGTCACACAGACCCCAACCAAGTAGTCTGCATCTACCAACATGGCTCAGACTAGAAGTTAGTGACTTCAGGCACTGATGCGACGTTTTGGTTTGGCCGCCCCTAACTTTCTTCCAACCATCCCCTACACCGGTTAGCATTGCACGTCGTGGTAATCGGTGTTCAGGCATACGTAACACGTGGCCCAACCATCTCAGTCGATGAAGATTCATAAGCTCATCAACTGATTTACCATCATTCCCTAATACCCTGCGTCTAACCTCACTATTACTTACCCGGTGATCCCAGCAGATGCCAGCAATATTTCTAAGGCATCTGTGGTCAAATACTAGTAGCTTACGGGTGTCTTCCACTCTTAAAGGCCATGTTTCGCTGCCGTAAAGTAAGACAGAACGGACTGCCGCGCAGTATACTCGTCCTTTTATTGATAGACGGATATCTCGCCTCCGCCAAAGGTGACGTAAGTTGGCAAAAGCCAAACGAGCTTTTCGAATCCGTGCTGAGATTTCGTCAGACACCAACCCATTAGGGCTGATCAGACTTCCAAGATAAGTGAAGTTGTCGACGCGTTCGACTACTTCACTCCCTATCCTCAGTTCAGGTGTTGACGCAGACCAGTCCTGAAGCAACAACTTGCATTTAGAGGGAGAGAAGCGCATCCCAAACATTCTGGCATTGTTGCTTAGTGCTACCAGAAGACTCTGCATTTTGTCAGCGTCTTCACCAAACAGGACTATGTCATCTGCGTATTCTAAGTCGATAAGTGGACCTCCTGGAAGGAGATCAATACCCGAGAATTCAGTCGACGAGAGTGTTATTTCCATCAATAGGTCTATGATGAAGTTAAACAAAAATGGAGAAAGTGGACAGCCTTGACGGACACCACTTGAAGTTGCAAAAGTAGATGACAGTTCGCCATAAGCTCTGACTCGACTAGTAGTGTTCGAGTAAAGAGCCTTCACAAGGTTTATGTACTTCTGGGGTACGCCTTTCAATGACAGACACTGCCACAGAGTCTCGCGGTCTACAGAATCAAATGCTGCTTTTAAGTCGAGAAAGACCACCATCGTCGGACGCCGATAGGTATGCCTGACGAACAAACATACTGGCATTGTTGCTTAGTGCCACCAAAAGACTGCATTTTATCAGCGTCTTCACCAAACAGGACTATGTCATCTGCGTATTCTAAGTCGATAAGTGGTCCTCCTGGAAGGAGATCAATACCCGAGAATTTAGTAGACGAGAATGTTACTTCCATCAATAGGTCTATGGTGAAGTTAAACAAAAATGGAGAAAGTGGACAGCCTTGACGGACACCACTTGAGGTTGCAAAAGTAGATGACAGTTCGCCATAAGCTCTGACTCGACTAGTAGTGCTCGAGTAAAGAGCGTTTACAAGGTTTATGTACTTCTGGGGTACGCCTTTCAATGACAGACACTGCCACAAAATCTCGCGGTCTACCGAGTCAAATGCTGCTTTTAAGTCAAGAAAGACCACCATTGTCGGATGCCGATAAGTATGCCTGTGTTCTAGAATCTGACGGATGGTGAATATGTGGTCGATGCAGCCACGACCAGGTCTAAAGCCAGCTTGGTTCTCTCGTGTTTGCAGTTCACGAGTCTTAGTTAGGCGTCTGATAATTATCGAGGCTAGTATTTTAGATATTATCTTAGTTAAACTAATCCCTCTGTGGTTGTCACAGGATGATTTTGACCCTTTCTTATATATTGGGACGATAAGTGATTGTGACCAATTAGATGGAATAACGTCTAATTCCCAGATTTTAGCTAAAATATTAGTCAACCTAATCGCTAAAATTAGACCACCATCCTTAAAGACCTCTGGAGCCAATCCATCTGGACCAGCTGCCCTTCCTCGTTTCAGATTAACTACAGCCTTTTGAACTTCAGCTAGAGTTGGGGGACCTACTTCAATGTTCCATTCACACTGTCTGGGAATGAAGGGTAGTTGTAGAGTAGCTGAAGGTCCGCTGAACTGTTCTCTGAAATGTTCCACCCATCGTTCTAAACGTCTGGACTGAGAGCAGATGAGGGTGTCGTCTTCCTCCGAAATAGTCTGACTTACACTTGACTTATTAATTCCAGTTTCTTTTATTAGTCTGTAGAGCTGTCTTGTGTTCCCTATAGCCGCCGCCTTTTCCATCTCTTTTGCTTTCGTTGCCCACCACTGCTCACGGTCGTTCCTTAGACTTTTGGTTAACCTAGATCTGATTTGTTGTCGCTCTTCATTGTGTTTAGAGCCTGATGGGATGAGTTTACGAGAATCCATCAGTGCAGTAGATCTTGAGGAAATCCATTGGTTCTTTGTAACCATGTGGTTTAAATCACTGATAGATGTCACCACTGTTTCCACAGCTTTCCAAGCAACATCTGGGTCAGCCTAGTTTTCAGAACTACTTAAGTGTGACCTCAGTTGTTCCTGGAACCTACTTTTGGTTTTCTCGCTACTCAATTCAGTTCTAATGGGTCTTTTTAGTGTGGCTTTTTTGCGTCCAGTGGGGCGCAAGCCGATGCGTGCCCAGATTGGAGCATGATCACAGTAGAAACACGAACTCCAGAACGATCGACGGTCTTCTGTCGAACCTCTCCAACGATGACTGATGGCAATATGGTCTATTTGAGTCCATCGTTGGCTTGGTGTAGGGAGTCGCCATGTTAGACGATGTCTCTCCTTATGCTTCAAATTTGTGTTTGCTAAAAATAAACGATTGTCTGAGCACAGTTGCAGCAGACGACCACCATCCTCTGTTCGTTGTGCCGGAATACTAAAATACCCACCTAAATGCCTTTCTGTTTGGTTTAAACTACCTATCTGGGCATTAAAGTCACCCCCTACGAGTACTATGTCTGAACGTTTAGCTCTCTGAAGAAGTTCAGATAGCTTTCTGTAAAATTCATCTTTCACATCATCTGAGCTGCAGTCGGTGGGAGCGTAGGCAGAAACGACGAGAAGACAACAACGTGTGTCCCTATCCTTCCGAGTTCTTACGGAGCCGTTTAGCCGAACAGCACATAAACGACTGTTAACGGGGATCCACTCTAACAGTGCTTGTTCAGCCCTCATGCTTAGTGCTATCCCTACTCCTGCCAGTCCACGAGAACTGGCCACCGGGTCACCAGATACACGGAGGGTGTATCTCGTTGGCTCTCCGTTTTGCTGAGGTGAGTTCAAGTAAATGACCACACTGGGATCCTGTGTGAGTGTTTCAGAGACACAGAATACATCAATGGTACGAGATTCTAGGGTTTTAGCCAAGGAGGCCTGCTGACCGATTTGACGTAGGGTGCGTACATTGAAGGTTCCAATGTGTAGTTTGGAGCGAGGTTTCAGTAGACCTGGGATAGTGTTTTGAGCACTAGAATCGTTGGCTATGGTGACACTTGAAAGGGAAGCCGAAAAAGAAAGTTTAGAGGTGAAAGTCGATGTAGGAGGAATAATAGGAAGTGAAGACGGAGGTTGATTATGAGTACAGTGATCTTGAGTGCTGTTAGAGGTATGAGGGCGGTTATCACTTCCCGGTTACCCACACCGTGGAAGGGCTCTTCTGGAGGTGCCTGAAAAGGAAATTGGATTACAGGTGGTCTTAGTGACCTGGGAGCGTGACCGCAGTGCCCAAGGGACAACTGCTTGAGGTCGGTCACAAACGACCTTTTTATGAGTAATCTTTGTGTTAGCTCCGTACTTGTTGAAACCATACCGCCGGAGACGGATATCCGTGGGATAAGGCAGGTGTGCCTTTTTAGGGTCGACCCTTTCTAGCCCCACCCCTCCCTGTGGGAAGGCAGCGTCGCTGTCATGCTGGTTGTCTGAAGGAAACACCTTACTGCTGTCACACCTCTGTACAGTCAGTAGTACGACTTCGCCTTCGGACCTTGGGTTTGTTGCTTTTAGTCTTACCGCTCTTCAACCGACCTGTCTAACATGGTAGGACCTTGAGGAACGGTCGTTCCAGCCAGTATAGCTCGGTTGCTTCATCACGATACGCAAGTCTGACCACCACGTCAAGGTAGCAACAACGGTCAGGGGTTTATGGATCTACTCCAAGAGCAAACAGATAAGTGTAAATATCTTTGAAAAAATTCTAAGAATATTTACAATTATCTTAGACACACGAAAACTTCGGAAGTGAAGATTTTCCAGAGTAAAAATAGACAGTGAGCATGCGTCTATCTATCCATAGATTGATCAGATTTTTCGCAGTAAAGACCTAGAAACATGAACAAATCTGTAATTATGGATAAAAATAAGTTCATATCAAGTTGTTTCGCAAGTTCTCCCTCCGACTTTCAGCGTAAATACCGGACGTTAGACTCTGTCTCAATATGAAAAGCGAGTGTCGATTGTTATTTCAGTATTTAGAGCCCCCAAATGCCCTGGTATGGCCAAGAGTAGGGTGGGCCGGTCCTCCCTCTCGAAATGCCCTCGCACGGCCGCGCGTATACAACCTCTGCCAGGGAAGTCCTACTTACTGCCTTCTCGTGGCGGGGCTGCTGTCTACGAAAATGAGAAGACGGAAAGCGAATGTCCGGTGCTTTGACCGGATCCCAAACCAATGGTGCACATGGGCTCCAGTATCCTAAAGGAACAAATGGCGTGTGAACCGATCGTTGGTCACCGGCTACCATGGGACTGCATCTCCTCACGATGATCCACTGCCTTGTGGGTCAGACCTTTAAGTCAAAGGCTCGGGGTGTGGCACCCTGAGAAAACCACCTTCATCGGTTTGGGCACCCGGGCAGTATCAAAGCCCTCACACATATCGAATGAGATTTGTGTGGCGTATATGTATTTGGTGTCTCCTTGTACCAATATTCATGTGTTAAAATAATAATAATAATAATAAACCTGAGGTTGCCAGTCATTTCACACAAGTTGGCATTTCAGCGAAAAGAGCAGTTCAGAAGTGTAGGTTTTATGGCTGCATACGAAAAAAGAATTTTTTCCTAATAATTAGGCGCACTAACACTTCAATTATTGTCTTTATGCATCAACAAAAAACAACTTGCCGAGCTGTATGACATCTCGACGCAGGTGTATTTTCACGACGTAAGACAAAATACAAAAGCATCATCGGAGAAAACAAGAACATGTACGTACTAATTTGAAGTTATAACTATTCATTGCTGTTTTATATGTGGTGTTCAGCACCAGGAAACACAACTGCAAGTCATACTTCAGGTCGAAAATTGTTAAACAGATTACGGCAGTTTGGCATTGTTGTAAATTTTTGCGTTTATTAAATTTCAGAATTCACAAGATTATTTGGCGAGACTCTAATTTAGGGACGACCTTTGAATGAATCTCAAATGACCTAGACAATTATTAGCCAATCAGAAGGCACTTACTATAAAGTGAAAATATATTATAAGTAAGTCATGAATTACAGTGGATATTCTTCTTTTACATGACTTAAAAACTTGTTAAGGTTTGATAAAGGTTCAGAGGTTCTGAATTCATAATGCATACGGTATAGAAACTCGTCCATAGGGTTAGGGTTGGGTTAGGGTTTAGGGTTAGGTTAGGGTTTGGGGTTAGGGTTAGGTTAGGGTTACGGTTTAGGGTTAGGATGCTAACATGAGATCAGTTTGCAACGGATTTTAGAGGTTAGGGTTAGGGTTGTAGCCTCTCAATAAACACCTCTTCTCTAAAATCCGATGTAAACCGATCTCATGTTAGCAGCCCAACCCTAACTCTAACCTAACTATATGGACGAGTTTCTATACCGTATGCATTATGAATTCAGAACCTCTGAACCTTTATCACATCTTAACAAGTTTTTAAGTCATGTAAAAGAAAAATATCCACTGTAATTCATCACTTTCTTGTAATATGTTTTTACTTTATACTGTCTTCTGATAGGCTAATAATTGGAATTGCCCAAACGCTTCTCACTGGCTCATCCCTAAATTAGAGTCTTGCCGTCCCATATGTTGTAACCTCTCAATCACCTACTCTCTAAAATCCGCTGTGAACCGATCGTATGTTAGCATTGCGTTTTGAACTTGGCACCGTGACCTTGAAATTGCTCAAACGCTTCCGATTGGCTCGTCCCTAAATTAGAGTCTCGCCAATCTAGGTGACATTTGGGGTTAGGCAAAAGGTGGACAAAAAAGTGTATAATCAGGCGTACAGCGAAAACGTAAACGATTCGGCGCGTATATTGGTGAGAAGTAGACAAATCAGCGGCATTTTAAACACATACCGACAAAACGGTGGAATTATGCATTGTTTCTCCATGGCAGGCGAAAAAGCGGACAGTCTGTTGCGTTTTCCCATCACTTCTCCTTCATTTTCTAACGTAAAGTACCGTTTATTTCGCCCTTGTTCGCATATATTTCCATTTATCATTTAGGATTCTTTTTATTTTATGAGTATATGGAAATACAATATTGATATACCTACGGAAGTTGGTAAAAGATACTTGTCCATGTGTTACGGCAAATATTCGCGAAATAATTAACATGAATAGCTTGAAAAACATTTGTGCACAGAGGTTTTATCATGTATGATGCAGTGCACAGTGGTTTGACAAGATATTTAAACGAAATTAAAAAGACCCACTTTTCTCAATTGTCATTTGGCTCCGGCCTTGAATACGTAAAGTCCGCCGTCGCTCAAATTTCAAACATTTCGTGACAAAAATATCGGAAGCTTAGTTTCTTTGTGGTCGAAAGCTATCATTAACCAATTCATTCGGCAGTACTCGTTTTCTCGTTTAACCCCAAAGGTCAAAACATTGGGCTATAATGATAAATGACCAAGGAGTATATCCTCGTAATACTTAGGGAAACTAAATCGACATTAAACCATGTTTCGTAGGATCCACCGGAAAATAAAGCAGGTATGGCCTATTGTCGGAAGTTTCAAAGTCTATCAATCTTAACTGCTTAAACGTTCAAACGGATCTTTGAGCTCTTTGATGTTCTTTCCTAAGTGGAATAATGCTTCAAATGTAAAAAACATTGAGTGATATGGTGATCTGTTGATACGAAGAAAACTATGTGTAGAACGAGAACCCATGAGCTTGTTTGTTCTAATGATTTTACGCTATACTAGGCACAGATGTAAACCGAACAAGAAGGCTCAATTGGGTTTGATTTTTAGTCGAAAAACTTCTACGGTTGTTCCTCTTTGAACTCGCCTCAATAGAACGATCTTTTTTAATACGGGAGCGTTCTTTTGATTTGGTTTTGAGTAGACACTGATGGTTGTTCCTAATCATTCAAGAGGTAGGTTACCCTAACTTTCTGAAAAAAACCAGGAAGGAATATGTTTTATTGGCTACTGTATACTGATGAGAAGAGATACCTAAACTGCTAATTAAGATGATTCCAAACTTATCTTGTGATGAAGCATGTGAAACTGAATTAATTCGAATGTGCTAGATATTTGAATTTGCCTACATTAAGGAGGAAGAAGGAATGTATATCATTCTTTAAATCTTTTGGTCACCTATACATAGCAAAGTCTCACAACACTGAACACACAGTAGGCCATTCATTAACAATAAGGAAAGGTTATGCTGTAGTAGATAAATAGATAAAGTATATAGTTTCGTAAGTCCTTGACATTGATCTTGGCCTTATTTTTTACTGGATATTTAAAATTATGGTCTACTATGATGTTAGTACTGAGCTAATAATAGACACAATCCTAAAATTGTAGATTTGTTATGATATAACTGCCTAATCTATAAGATCTTACGTAGAAGTTATGCCATCGTCTACACCAACTCATCGTATCTTAACAATCACCAATACATGATGTAGAACAAACTTAGACTAGAGATAGAACAATATACTAAATATGGATAAAAGATATAAGATAACATCCAACAAGGACCAAGCCTGCAAGGCCGAGCCTTGTCATTCGATCAACTCCAGTAATTCAATCCCTTGTTCCCTCCTTCTCCGTCGTTAGGTATTTGTCCGCGTTAAATATTGAACATCTATTTTCTGAGTAATCTCGTGTTCAGCTTTGAGGATTGTGTGGTCATGGTCCAATGCCACTACAGACACACCCAAGCTAAAGGAGCTCGGTCACGCATCTGCTCCAGACCACTAGTGGGTACGCCATGCTACACATCTCCCACAACTACTAGCCAGCTTAGATCAAACGCTTCTCAAAACATTGATAGCTTTCCAAATGCATCTTCGGATCCCTCCATTTCTGACTTCTGATTAGACTGGGTTGGTATACTTTGATTATAAAGGTGTTACTTGTAAGAGCGATGTCAAACTTCGAATACCTGTGAAATCGTTAGTTATGAGTTCGACGTGACCTGGTACACCAAACAATAAACTGTGGATCTGTTGTGACTTAACATGTCAGTTTTTAAGTTTTATTTTTAGATATAGTGATATTATTTTTGTGTTTTCGGATTGTTTTCTACCCATTTAAATATTTTTTCTACACATTGTTGGAAAAGATATTCAAACTTTAGAAGAGCCAGGCTCTTACGTCCACTTACGTCCACAACTAATTAGATTCTGCTTTAATAACATGGAAACATGCTTCTGTTATACAGTATCTGACTTTGAACAACTCATTGTGACAGACCCACGTCAATAATCCCTCTCATTAGTAAGGAACTACCACGCAATTTTAACTAGTATGGTACACCTAGTATGTTTACTGGTGATGCCTGAAAAACTTACAACCTGAAGAAAAAGATTGTCATTAAGCTTGGAGGCCCAGCCAATCGAGAGACGTTAGAGCAGTTCCTTTGTCGCTGGTCAATGGATATTTGACTAAGACCCTTTTAGACGACTCTTTTTGTCCAAGCTTCCCTAACATGTGCACACTATTATTGTCTCATTCAAAAATATGCCATATACGAACTGGCTGAATCTGCCAGACCCTGGACATCATTATGAGCCCTAGCGCCAAGGTCTATTTTGTCAAGCAAAAACCCCAAACAACACGAAAATGACTCTACAGATCTTTCTCACACTCTCATTCGTCATCCGTATGTTTATCATAATCGCAGGTGCTCTGAAATTCCTCAAAGAATTCTGTCAGGGAAAATTAACATTTAACACTGATTAGTATTGGCACCACAATATCTAAAATAAGTCTTGTGGAATTTGCGGGAAAGACTTCAGTTTCAATAACTCCAAACATTCCGTCAAAAGGAACCTCTCAGGAGACTTTCCTACTGGCACGTGTCAACGGAAACCGTGGCCGATGGTAATAGCCAGCTATCAAACATCAACAAAGAAAAGTCTCTACCTCGTTGACACTAGAGAAGAAGTGAGCATTCTTCCAGCAAATACCGACGACCATCAACAACATCAAGTCTTCACTTTACTGGAGGAAAGTGAAAAGAAGGTCTCCACATGTAGTAAGAAATATGTTTGTCTAAACATGGGTTTGTGCAGACTCACTCACTGGATTTTTGTTGTGATAGACGGTTCTATGGCAATCATTGGTATAGACATGCTATCTATCGATACGAGCAATCGGAGGATGGCAGACGGGAATACTGAATTATCTTTCTGTGTAACATCGCTTTCTGATTATAGGTTATGCTTAATCACTGTTAGGGGTTTTTGGAAAATAACATTTTTCCCCTTACTAAACCATATTTGTCTGATGTCTTCGAGCCAACAACATTTAAACTCATCAGAAATACGATCCAAAAGATAGAATGAGTACTTATGATATTCAGAAAGAGTAAAAATAAATACTTCCACTTCTTCTACACTGATCTCGTGTTTCGCAGAATGCAAGGATACGTTGTCAGTCCCGCAGAAATAACACGTGAGTCTATGTATAACGATCCCTTTCAGACAATTTTAAACTTTTGCTTGCATCAATTTTGAAAGTATACCAAGTAGTTTGAAAAGTGCTTCGTGATAAAGCATCTAATTTCGGTATGGACCCAAAAAATATTATTAGCATTTCTTTCAGAATAATAACAATCACCACTAAGGTTTACAGATGTAATAAAAAACATCTTATTAGTTTTCTGCAATGGATGCTCGAGTAACATCACATCCTAACGTCGTTTCAGAAATATCTTGCATGAAGTTAAATGAACACAATAAATAAACAATCTGACACTACTTCGTTTATCACATTCATCATTTCATACACGAACTACTGTTCAAAGCTATGAATGAAATTAAAAAGCATGACTACACTAAAACATGAAGCTTCTGTTGCTATCCACATCACATACCATCAGCTAGGTTGTGGAAACATTAAATTCACTGGAAATATTAGATCTTGTGACAATCCACATTGTAAATATCCGATTCATCTCCATTCACACCACATCACATTCACTATCTAGTTAAGTACTTCCTTCAAAGTTTACGTTACAGACCATCAGACACCTACAACAACTACATCATGATAACCAGTCGTTGGTGTACAATCCACATAATCAATTAAATCAACTGAATATCCTCGATCGGAGTATCAGTCAATGATGAACACAAGATAAATTGACTGGATGAATTTCATCTTTTATATATTGGTGACAAATGTATTTGTGAGAGAAAATTAACAAAGAAACGTACTCATTGACCAATTTGATACAAAAGTATATATCACAACATATCTGCAAATCAACATTATTTCATATATTTTTCTTGTAACGTGCGATATGTTCCAATGTGATGACTGCGTTCAGGACATTTGTGATCAACATCTTTACATGCCTTTACATAAAATGGAATGAGACAACAGCCACAGAAGCACCTTAAATACACAAAACTAATATTCGAAATGAGCACCATATACTTCGCTCATCATACACGTTTTCTAAGTTTAACTATAATTTCATTCACTCACTTAAGTAAACTCACTGTGAAACCTGAAGATTGTGGGTCCATATTTTGAAAGTATTGTCAATGAGTGCTTCTGAGGAGCCTTACAATAAAACGAGACTGTTATCTTAATTCTGCTTAGTTCTCAATGATACCTCAACCAAGGTCAGTTCCTGACAAGTACCACGGACACATAATTTAGCATTCTGAAAGTATTTAATCATCAGGTTAAACTGGAATCAAAATGAACTAGATGTTAAGCAAAACGACGAATTAAAAATTTTACTTCTGGGTTACAAATAATCGGAGAGAATTTCACAAGTAATCTTGTTCAATTGTTGGTCGTGCTTTTGTTGTATATTATTTGTTCCTCTAAAAAACCTTTGTTTTGATGGGATGTATGCAGTCAAATTTTAATTTCAATCAAATCTCTAAATACAATCGGTAATTTAGCGGACCAAGATCTGACTCTTATTTAGACGAACGATTAAATATGCTGTGAACTTAAATCTTCCGTTTATTTCCGTACACTGTTGTTGGACCAACTCCATTTGGACGACGGCGATGAAACGAAGCCAACTAAGGACTGAGTAGGATAAATTTATTTCAGATACTCGTTAACCCAGTCAGACATTCAAAATAATAAGTGAGGAAATGAAGCAAAGTGAAGAAGGCAAGACTGCCAACTCATTTTAATGAAGTATCTGTAGCGTGGCGTCGAGTCGCGGTTGACTATGATCACCACTACAGGAAGACTACGTACCAGTTAACCGATAAAATCCCCCGTAAGCCAAATATCAGAAGGCAGTTGATGGCTGTAGTCGAGATGTATTCGTTG